GCAAAGATTTATAATTGAAAGATTTGTCATTACACTGCAAAAACTAATGAAATAACTATATAAAAAATATGTATATGGCTATAGTAAGGTTGTTGACCCTCACGACAAGCTTTAACAAGGCATTTTGGTGGGAGCATAAATTTACATACATTATTTTGCCATCATATTTATAATAGCGGTGTTGTCATATGTTTTAATGGTATTTCATACATAAATATATTATATACATATAAAAAGATGGCAGGAATTTATCTCGGCCGATTGTATGAACTATCACCATATCTCTAACTATACAGGCAAAATAGCTAGGTTCAAAAACATTAAACCCTATTCGTTGACAAAAAGTACCGCGTCTACACAGGCCAGAAATTTTGAATTTTTTTTCTTATTTTATTACTGAAAATATTAAAACTGTTATATTTTGAGTATTGATATTTTTTAGTTAACGTTTAACAAAAGAGGTGCTTACAATAATGTCTATATGATAATAAACCTATTTTTTATGTATTTTTAAAACACTGATATAATAGAACTTATAGCGCCTTTGAATAGGACGGAAATGTCACTGACAGTTGTTAGTCGACCCACCAGGAATAATCCAGGTCGAATTCGATCAGCTAAAAATCCTTTCCCCTAACATTCGAGTATAGCATAGCATATGCACTAAAATGTAAGAGCCTTTCCATTTTTTAAATTTGTTAAAAACTTTCCACTCTTTTACCTTTCAATAAATAATTTAGCACAGAAAACTTCATACAAATTAAGATACCTACACTCGTAAATCTAAAGAAGAAATAAAGGAGCGTCCCTTAAATCAATTGAGCGTGATAGATGCCAATGAGCCTTGAAATCCGATATTTACGAATGTTTTTAAAATTTGCATATAAAATAAATTATGCTAATGATAATAATAAAAAGCACACGTCAAAAACAGGTATAAAAAATCGTTTTTAAATATATCGTTTTAAAAAATATTCCATTGTGGCCTTATACCGTATTGTCATACAAATCAACTACTTCAACAAACTAAGATCGAGAATACAACTTACGGACATGTTATGTGTATGAAATTAGGAATAACAGCTACTCAATATAAGATTTTCTTTAATAGAAAAAACAGCAGCTTCAATCGTGATACAAATATATATTACTTATATAATTATATTACCGCATTAAAGCTACTTAACCGATAAACGACGAGATATGTCGTAGATACCTACCCTACAACAAAATATTATGTAGGTGTATGTAGGGTACATCGTAAATATTGCGTGTTTACATATAAATTTCGGCTTCGCAACATATAGTTGTTGACACCGTAAAAAATAATAATACGACTTAGTTTCAATCTTCATAATTATAAATAATATTGTGTTCCACAAAATAAAACCAACTTCAATTGTAGTAAAATCAATTATTTTGATTTAAAAACAAAACTACTAAAGCGATTTAAAAAAAATATGGGACCAATCTGTAAGTATATCCTATTATATAAAAGAAGAATTTTTAAATTGGTTCCCAATTGACGACGTTATGCAGTAACAAATATAAAAAAACGACAATTTTTTTAAGTTTTTTGAAACGGCGACATCTGTCCTGACAAAATTGATATTTTTTATTATAGGCATAGATAATGTAATACTATTGTAAATAATATACGAAAGGAATTCCTAACAAATACAAAATGCATTATTGTTCTCTAAAAAACCACTTTAGTTGTGACGAAAGATATTGATGAATGATGAAATGTTTCGTAGATAAATTAAATTACAAATAAATTAATACGATGTGTCTACAAATAAATTTTGCTTCGTAAAAAAGAACAGCAGTTTTAATTGTTAAAAGGAAACGAATACGAGAATAAATTCTATATATTACTATTTTTTTTCAAAAGAAATATAAAAATTGCTCTAATCGCGTAAATCTCAAATCATATAAAAGTATAGATTAATTTAAGGATTTCCTTTTAGAAATCGCTTCATATTTATTAGAATTGGATGCAATATGCAACATAAACAAAACACCCAATGTACATATATAACGGAAAATTAACCAACTCACTGTGTTTCCGACCGAACAAAAATACCGACCGACCGACCGTTTCGGACAAAAAAAAAATAATATAAACAAAATATCGTCAAATTAAGAACCGAATCCTTTTGAAAATGGCTATACACACAAAAATATGTATCATGCACTATAGAAAACATAGTTGTAAAGTTATAGTTCTAATTAATAATTTAGTAAAAACTTTCCAACAGGTGGGCCATCAGCTTGTTTGCCATTCTAAGCTACATAAAAAGATATAATATCATTAGCTATCTAAGTAACAAATAAAACAAAGCTGTATTGTTTAGTAATAAAACTGGAAAAGGTAAAATTCCGTTAAAATCTTTTTACTGATTTCTCAAACAAGAAAAGTGTCGCATGAGGTGCATCATGGATATCACAGTGTGTTCTGTAGAGTCCATGGTACTGTTTATCATTTTCCATCACTTTGGCCGTCACGTGAGTTCAAAAAAAAAAACGAAACGCTTTATTAACCATAAACATTTTCGAATTTAGAACCGTATTCAATTAATAGATCTAATGATTGAATGAACATTACTGAACTGATTCAGTTACTTAAGTACTTACCTGCTCGAATCAAACATGACGTTTTCTATACTCCATTTGATTTTTTTTAAAGATACAATATTTTTGAATGAAAATAGAATGGAAACCCCGCTTTTACTATCAGTATACGCTGGTAAGGTACCAGTAAGAGTGAGAGATGATAAGTAAGAATGAAAGCAGGTCACTTAAACTAAACGAATTCCATAAGAACTAACCACGATGGTTACAAGGGGAACCGCGAGGAAGCCGACTTCATAGAATACTGCTAGCAATGGAGTTGTTAGAGCTTATTGCTAACAATCCGTTTCAATATAAACCCCGCTTGCTTTTATTGCCTGCTAGTAATTTACACATACTTAGCTCTATTGAGACATAATAAAATATGGGATAAAGGTAGGTCAGTCATGGCGACCCATTGTAATTAATCAAGAATTATTCACAATAGTTTCCAGGGGGAACCGCGTGGAGGTCGACCTAACAGGGTATATTACTAGGAATAACGTCGCTTGTACTCTGTTGAGTAACAACAGATATTAAGCCTACATGTTTATTTCTCAATTAGATATTGACATAACGTGGACAACACAGTATTTGCCTATATATTAACAAAATGTGGTAATACTTGTAGGTGATTGTAATAAATTAGTATTATCTTAAAGGAGTGTTCTAACAATGACCGGCACCAAAAGAAATATAGTGAAAGTTAAGCTTATAAGAATATCATAAACGGCACGGTATATGAGTACTACTTTGTCTATCTATATTGTTGTACATTTATGTATGCGCTAGTTATTGTTTCCTAGAGTTTTTCAGGGGTACGGCATCAATATTTTATTATGTTATTTAGTCCATTAGAGAAATGGAAGATAAAGTGAACATTCATTGATTTTGCTACCCCACGTAAAGGGAAAAACAAGACGCTTCACGTTATTGTCTTATTCTATCTTATGTATGCGGGAGCGAAAACGTATATATCGACTGTTTCGTTTGCACCGTATTTATGGTGTGTATACTTAGTATTTTTAAAAATCGAAATGTGATGTAATTGCTGAATCATCAATATGTTTATTTTAATAAATTTGACGACTTATTTTTTTTTAACGAGTGACGTAATCATAAACTCAGTCAAGCAGTCAAGGTCATCATTCAACCAGCACATACAGTCACAGAATAAATAATAAGTAGTTCAAGTAATACCTTTTTTCGTGCTTCTGTCGTGGTACAGCTGTGCATGCATAGCTGTATATTTGTTTGAAGGGTGGAATATAGCAATTAAACTACAGATTACGAAAGTTGAACACCATAATCCTCAAGAATGCCAACTTATGAGGTGTGCAATGGTTCTGTTCTGCTTAGATTGTATGCCATTTCCAGTCACATTAAAAAAGTAGGTATCCCAATAAATATAAATCAATTGTGGCAGAGTAAAATTTGATGAACTTTTTAACATAAATTATTTCATTTTTAAAATAAACTATTTTTATACCCACTTAAATTTTTAGTACATACTTATTTGTTGTACGTATTTTTAGACACAAATTTTTTTCTATTCCACTACAAAAATTTTTAAATGTTGTCTACTGACATGAACTGAATACTGGGCCGCTCATATCAGTCCTATGCGTTGTGATGCGAAATACACCTTAACTCTTTCAATTCAAAAAGGAACCATCAAAATTCACAATCGATAAAATGATACAAATGAATTGAATAACTTTTTTTTTAAATCAAATCTTTACCACAAAACGTTGAAACGAATTTTTAAATAACTTTTTCTGTCAAAATATATTATTAAAGAAATATCGTGGGTACTATTAAGCAACTAGTAACGCTAATAATGTCAATCTGTTTGTATGGTATGTATGACAATGAAATTACAGAGTATTCGTATAATATATTAAATCTTTAGAATGACAACGAATTAGAGGTACGACATGCAACCGATGCAACACAGTGTATCCTGTGACTGATATCCATGGTGTACAGGTCATAGGCGGCGACAGTTACCACTAGTCATTAGGCTGGCCATCAGCTAGTTCGCTGTTTTGTTTCATAAAAACTTAAATATTGCTACAAACTTAAATTTAGAATTTGTTTATTACTTAGATTTAGTTAAATATATATAACGAAAATAATTCTTAGGTTTTTTTTTTTTTATAAAATGATATTGCCGAAATAGAAGTTCTTCTATCTAGTAAATTAAATTAATTTTGTCATGAATTACTTAATAAATATTTGATTTTTGATCAGCAATGATGAAGGATCTATATTTTATTTTCCAAGAACTCATTCAAAATTAGATAGTTAAGTATCAATTAGATATATCCTAACACACAAAACTTTTTAATTAATAGTAAATTTACTAATTTAATGTAAGTACTCACCAGGTTAAACTTTATAGACTTATTAACTTTATGTTACACTATTTTTGTTCGTAAAATTAGATAAATAAATAATAATACTTTTTACACAAACACAACAAACTCAGCCGGCGGTCAAGCGCCGTCTGCCAGTCACTTAGTTAACTTAGTGCAGTTTATGTAACGATTTGAAATCGAAGAAGCCCCGTTTACACCACAATAGTGACGATACGATTTTTTTCACAGATGATTGCTTACAATCTTTCACATAACCGTTCATTTGCTCCGCTACCACCGCGACGATAAAGATAACGAGGTTTTTTTTTTATTACTAATTCTGATTGATAATCTAAGCATAGGTAATCAGGAAAAAAGAATACAAGATTGGTTCAAACTGGCGTAACGGAAATCAGCTTTTAAATTAAATATTGATTTTGGAATACGTCAAGAGCTTATTTTTTTAGTGGATAATAATGGCGGGACACCAGTGTGGGATAACAGGTGAGGATGAAAGCAACTCAATTGGCCAATCGTGATGAATTTATCAAGAATTAAGTAATCACGACGGAGACGATGTGAATATCGACCTGATGAAGTATTTCGTTTTTTTTTATAATTAATAAATTTCAAATATAGGATATATTTTTATTGTTCACTGCTTAACTTAGGAATTCTCGTTATGAGGAAGGCCTGTGTTCAGCAGTGGACACTAAACGCGGCTGATAGTATGATGATAATATCTTTTTTTCTATTTAATTACACTATAATAATTATAATTAGCTTTGATAATAATGACTTAACACCTACGTGGTACAAGCACAAATAATATAACACTAAACTAGTAAAAAGAAATTATCACAGGTACCTTCAACGACATATCATTAGCCTTACCTTCTAATATGTCAAGTGTTAGGACACATTTTATACACACTTAACACTTATAATTAAATTAATAAAAATGTATTCATTTGTTAAATAAATGTACCTACATGAGATAAGAATTGTAAATCAATTACACGTAATAAAATATACGGTACGTAAAAACTGACGACAAATCTACCTACTTACTTAAAATTATCTAAAATATAAGTTATGTTTTACTTGTATAATCAATATTAAATATAATTAATAAAATTGTTATTTGATTATTTTTTAATACATATAGCTCGGTACAAATCTGAGTAAAAAAAAAAAAAACTACAACCTTGAGCATATATCACTTGGCATATCAATTACTACGTGTAGCCAAATTTCATGACGATTGGCCAATTTGGCAGCTAAGCATAAGGAACAAACAAACACACTTTCACTTTTATAAATTTACTAAGAGTTAAATGCTGTAATGACTGTAAATAAGTCAACTGCTGAAAGGAGGCTTTCCAAATATATTAAGCGAATCCGAGACACTTCTATTCTATTAACCACTCAATACGTAAGATAGAAATATTACTCTCCCTAGGTAGGGAAGAAAAATGTTTGTAATAGAAACTACCGGAATCAGTATTAAGAATATACCATATCAGGCCGACCTTCACGTGGTCTGTCTAGGAATCTATCGTGATTAATTCTGAAATAAAATTTATTTATCCTAAAATAATGTATCATCGGACATAACTACATCGTCATCTATTATCCGCCATTAGTAATAGCGTAAAGTAAATACGCCAATATAATTATCATTCCATCAAAAAAATTTACAGACGACTTACATGATGATTTTTATAGACTACAAAAAAGTAGGTTCTAAATCCGACTTTTATGATTATTTTTAACCAAATTATTTACACCCATTCTAAATTAATAAAAGATAAGATCTTTTTTAAGAAAATATCAACCATTTAACGAGAAATATACTACAATATCTTATCATATAAACAGAAAAATGCCCTGTGGTCCCAACAAAGAACGGGCCAACCTGCCCTTTCCCATGGATGTCATAAGAGGTAACTAAGGGAACTTAATGGTTAAGGGATGAGCAGCAGCGCCCCTCTTACAACATTACCAAAGCCTAACTGCAGTTGATAACGCCTGCCAAGCATGGCAGCTATTGGCAAAATCCCCCGATAGGGTGAGGCCTATATTCTGTGCAGAATAGGCAATAAAGAGTAACATAAATATAATACTGTTAAATCGAGCATCTGCCTCTTCTTTATTCTGTAATTATACTGAACAGAAAATAAATATGACAATGAAGTTACAGAATACGGAAACTATGAAGTAGAGAGGGGAGGGGGAGTAATATTCGATATCAATGTATTAAGTTTTTCTGGACATTAATGACCACCCATCGCGATATCATCCATACCAATCGGATATCTACATTCATTACGAGCAGATTCTTCTTTTCGATGAATAAGCGATAGTTAATATATCCGTTATTTATTTTCTTAATAGATGATAATGAAATGGTGACCCCGTCTGCGCTACCGGTATACACTGGCGGGACACCAGTGAGGAATGATAGATGAGTATGAAAGCAGGTCAGTTAGCCCATCATGACGAATGCAAGAAGTATTAATCACAATGGTTTCTAGGGGAAACCGCGTGGAGGTTAAACTTACAGGGCTTGCTAGCAATGGGGTCATTCGTCCATATTACTAACAATCCCTTTCTCTACATATATCTGTTATTAGGTTAATGTAAGTGCTGTTATTGTAACTACAATATATATTGCTATATATTACCCACCTTTTTTAGTAAGAAGTTACAGAAGGATCGACAACTGACAACTTATGGCAATTAAAGATGCATAAAAAATACTTATATAAAGTAACATTTTTTATTTAGATTTCGCAGATATCTTAAATTTTTCAATAGTTCAATATAGTAACCCAAAGAGGGTTGACGTCAGGCAGGCGGCGTGTCGTAAAACTAAAAGCCAAATCTCTTTGTAATATGGATAAAAACATTACGCCGACCCAGATCAGATCAGATTTTTTGATACTTTTGTTTATAAAAAAAGTAGCTTGCTGATCGGGAAGACATCATCGTGTCCATATTTCAATGCACCTATCATTAATCTATGTTCAATGCTAGAATATCAGGTTCATATTGTTTTCACCATAATATAATCTCATTTGAAATTTTGGCCATTTTATCCTATATATTTCTTTTAATTTAGGTATTAACTGTTATGATGGTAAATGCAGAAATATTTTTACACTCCACGCGACTTTTCCAATTTTCTTTCCCTAAAAGCCTTATCTAATATAATCTAATGAACATTCAAAAAAATTTAATTTGAGATAAACTTATGTACGACTGTAGCAAGTATGATTGTGTGTTTTGCAAAATATTTTATTATTTCTTGTTCTTAGTGCAAAATACAATATTTAATTAAATCTCAAAAAAGAGGACCGCAGGTATTCTCCTTAATCTATATCAAATCTACGCGACAGATTTTTCCATTTCTGTATTGGCGAATTTCATTAATCACTTGCTTTTCTGCGACTTTCTCCACGCGATCGGGATATATTCAAGTCCACTAACAAAAGTAGCCTCTGTCCTTCTGCATCCTATATATGGTATGTAGTTTATATAGCTAATTTTAAGCGCCTACATGTACAGCAAACTTCGTAGTGAACGGTTTAACCAATAAAGCGCTATGGAGTAACAAATTTACAATTATAGGATTAATAAGGATTTGAATTAACCTATTTTTATTATTAAATTATTATTTGCCTACTCTTTACCTAGTTCTTATAAGAGAGTGATGGGATGAAGTTATCGTTATAAATAAAAATTTCAATATACTTTTAACTTAATTTATTCTCAAAAAAAGAAAAGAAATATTTCACATGATCCTGATTAGAACAGTTACCACAGTACAGAAATATTGATTAAATATGTTTAGGATTATTGAAAATCAATTATTGTATTGATAAAATTTTTTCATAAATATATCCATATTTTGATTAAAAAATAAAATCTAATTATTACTTAATTGAATGCATTAATAGATATACATTTACGATAGATTCACATTTTTTATAAAAAAAAACTTTAATACTCTGTGGTCCAATTTAGACAACCTAATAAATATGAATACTGAATCTCACTCAATCTATCAATTTTTAATAACCCTATATTTCAACATAATTATTAATAACATATTCTTTGTAAGACCCGTATGTAAAATTTTTAATTATCAACATGAGAGAGCATTTAAAATGGAAAATTCAACACTATTACCTTACAAGTAACGTCATTTTACTTCATCTGCTTCAGTACTGTGGTGCTGATAAATGAAAAAAAAAAATTAAAGCCTTGAAATAAGTGGTACAGTGATAAAAAACTGAAACACGGACTAAACCACGTTATAAACTTAAACTAAACATCATGGACGTGTTTTATACTATTACAAAAATATTAATTTCATGTAAGAAATAATAATGAATGAAAATTAATGAAATATAGAATGAATAAGGAGTTCGGCGCATAATCCGTCTCAGAAATAAACTTTTTTTTTTCACAAACAAACAAAAGGTTATCGTAGTCTATGGCGCTTTCTACATCAAGAATGCCACGTGGGCATTGCTTTCCTGAAGAATCTTAAATATGCCCTTTTTGGAAAAACCAGACATAAAAATCAGTTTCCCAGAAACAAAACTCTGTCCTAGACAAGTGGAATCTATAAATAGATTTATTTCAATTAGTGCTCGCTCGAGAAAGCACAAAACACCGGATATTATCATCTTATTCTATTTCATGGGATCGCTAGCTCTAATTGTATAGAAAGATCCGTTTGCAGTATGCCCAGAGGGGCTCAACAGGCAACTCAGGTAATATATAGTTGAAAAGTTGAACTTAAAATGTGGTACAAAAGGCGGACTTAATTCTATAGGCATTCCCTACCAATCAACATTTAGGATATGCGAAGATAATCGAAAAGATAAACAGAATTCACTATCTACAGCTTGGTTTGCTCCCATCCATTGAAATGGGTTGACACAACTCAACTAAGTAGACGAACTAAACAAAATTACTCTAAATTCAATATGTAGAACATAAGCAACATATATATTTATTTACTTATAAAAATACGCCTGAGATTATATAGATAGTGTCACCATAGAAATGCTTCGAAAAAAATGGGTCAACTTTTTCATACAATTTTGCGTGATAAGTAGTTATGAGTGATTCCTTTATAACTTCTATATTTATTTTGTCTTATAATTTCTACATCTTTTTAATACGTAAACACTTATTTTTATTTTTAAGTAAAACGCCAAAATACATTGTATGTGTAAGTATATAGAATACTAATAAAAAAAAACGAGTCAGCTAATTTGACAATCAGCTGACAAAAAGTTGACCTGTTTTTAGGGGCACGATAACGTATCTATATAATCTAAGGCCTGTGAGGATATGTCAAAACCGATCGGTGGAAACAATACAAATCACACAGTAAATTATAAAGTAAAATAGTATAAAATAGGTCCAATTTTAAAGTCACGAGTTAAAGTATTAAAACAATGCGTCGAATACTTAAAATAACTTATTACCGAGTAATGGTAAACTCATACTAAATTGAACAATATATAATAGAGCCACGCTTGTTTGTTCACATAAATGTAAAAAGGATATACATAATAGGATTTTTTTTTAACCACATTAAACTCGGCATTATTATGCTATTGTTAAATTTAGAATATCGTTTTAAAATATGTTTAGACTTACCGAACTAAATGTTTAAAATTATACTCAGGTTTCTAAAGTTCAAAGGTTAAGGTTAAGTTAAACCTTAAGTTCCCAGGTTCTTTTATTGTATGGCATATTTAGTGCACAGACAAGAGTGATGTGACTACATATTTTTAACCTTATCTACGAATTAACATTTTTTTTTTTTTTTGCAACCAAACCTTTCAAAAATATTTAATCAATAGTGCATTTTGGTCGGCAAGTCCAAAACACCCATTTTCGAGTACTATTCATACATTATGTACAAACACACGTAAATGCTTATTAAATATATACGTATCAATATCTTCTATAAACTCTATTCATGTAAATTCTATGTCTTTGTATTCGACGATGTAACCTATTATTACTATAATACATCTCTTGTTTTAATTAATAACGTTCTATGGAGTTTCCGTTTTATTCTAGGCTTTTCTAAAGTCTCATTTTCCAATAATATCAATTTCACATTTGTATAACATAGACATTTCAAGATTATAAAATGCCGCAGCAAAATTTTCTTTTTAATAGATTTATTAAACAAAAATAGATTTATCATTTTGTTTCATTAACATTTTATAATTTTGGTAAATAATTAATATACCATGTATCAGTGGAACGACATATTAATTATTTATATCAATATATTAAAACGCTACGGCATTTTATATAATATTGCAACATTTCCTACTTTCTTTCCAATCTCCATCATGATCTTTCCAACCTTATCAAATAATGAAAAATCTTAGCATCAGATTTTCTATCAATCTTCTCTCCACTAGTTTAAAAGGCAGTGAGTGCCGGCTACCGTGGTTTGTCTAAATTTACAAAATCTTTTACAATAGTATTTGACCTGTCGGCTGCCTACAAATGTAGAAACCCCATTCTAATTTACATAATGATACACCTCTTTGAGTCCTTCTCCGGTCCGTGGTTGTTAGCGGCGGGAGTAGCGGTGGGGGTCGCCAAGGGAGTCGCGAGGGGCGTACTAGCGGTCGCCTTAAGCGATTCGGGGTCGAACGTGTCGGTCGACAACACAGGCGCCGACAGCGGCAGGTTTGTGTTTATACCCACGATCTACGGAATTAATTTAATTATATATCAAAGAAAAATAATTACTCAAATGTAAAATATTAAAAGGATGCAGTTATTTACCACTGCTTTCATAAAAGTCATTTTATAAGTATTACGTTGTACAAGTATGTGAATGCGTTTATGCGAAGACAATGAGTGTGTACAAGTAGTGTGGGTAAATTTAGGACTCCGTTAGTGTGCGAGTATGTGTTGTAGTGTGAGTTGTTTTACAAACGTGTATGACTACGGTAAAATTCTATGTATGTAGATGTATGAGACTTACTTCAGCAGCGCGGCGGGCAGGCAGCGGTGTACTGGCGAGCGTACGGCGGAAGGGTTGTGCAATGCGCTCCAACAAACGTCTCCGCTTGCCGATCACTCCCTCCGCCTCTGCATCCCCGCCCACTTCCTGTGCCTCCTCGCCCAGCTCTACCTCATCGCTCTCCGGCTTGCGCTTGCGTCCGACCACGGTACCAGTCGGTCGGGTCGGTTGCTCCGACGCTGTAACAAATTCATCTTCATAAGAACAATAAAGCTAATGAAAATATAAACAAACAAATAATTTAACAGACCATAAAACAGTTTGTTAATGTTCAGTAGTAGTACAAATAAAAAATTTAATTATTGTTTCGATTAAAATCGAATAATTGAAACCAATTTTGTTTAGTGAATGTTTTTATGGTAATTTCAACAAAAAATGTTTACTAAAGTAATAAAAAGAATTAAGTTCTTTTGAAACAGACCATAAGAGTTCTAAGAACATGCAATAAACAGTGAATTTATTCTTGAAATTCCATTAATTTGTTCCAATTCATTGATATTGGAATTTAGACATTTCACACTCTTGAATTTACAATATTAGCGAAATAATGGTTCCATATTGTTTTGATAGATGCATATTAGTATAACTTGCCAATGCAAACGACTGTAAACCAATGACTGTAAACTAATTCCTGTTCTTTCATCAGTGCAGTATAAAATTGTCATTAGCAATAGATTGGATTGATATTGGATTCAAGAGTAGACATGCAGGTAGGTTTTCATTAAAATAAATATGAGAACTAACAAATTGATCGCAAATGCAGTTGAGCCACAAAAGAATGTTTGAATGAATAAAAATATATCTGAAGAATGCAATATATTTTCAGAACGTTTTCGGATTAGCATTTCGTTAGAATTGAAATTAGTTTACTTATATAATAGAAGATTAAAAATTAAAATCTCAATATTGAGACGAGAGAGTTGAGGCAAACCATCTCTTTAAGATTAATCATAACGTTCCAATCGGCGAACTTGCCTGGTAACCTAACGATAAGAAATTCTTGATGATTCCAATAGGCATATATGAATTGGTATATTTTGTATATATCAGATACTGTCCGACTTCAGTGCTTTTCTCAAGAACAAGAGGGATCGGTGTGTGACGGGGCTTATTCAAATCCCACACTTTTCAAATCGAATAGATAAATAATGTTGAGGCGACTCACAGTTGAGGCTGGCGAGGGAGCGCGCGCTTCTGTTAACCGCAAAGTTTCTGAGGGTCATCTCCTTGAGCGGCTTGTAGGAGCGCCGCCCTCGGATGTTGCGCAGTCCGCTTAGGTATGAATCGTCCAGAGACGGGTCCTCCGATACAAATGACGATGTCTCCGTTATATCCATCTCCATCGTTGTGTTGTTACCTGTAACAATACATAATATTAAATTTATTATTTACAATAATTTATACGCTTAATAAATTATACTCGTATTTTTAAGTGATTTCCAAAAGAAGAAGATTCTCTATTGATCAGATTTTTTTGAGACTAGTTTCTACTATTACAAGGCCAGTTCTGAACCGATTTTCAGAATTCTCTGTACAATCGATAGAGTTTGCTCCTTACACTTGGCAAATGTAGCAAAATCCGCTTGTATATATGGAATATTACACACTGTATCCTACAGGGGGGAAAGAGATTGTTTGTAATGGGTTCTAACAGCCCTATTGCTAGCAATATCAGGTCGATCTCAATACGGTTCCATACGGTTGGGCCAACTGACCTACCTTCATCCTCATCTATCGTCTATCACTGGTGCGGCGCCAGCGTATTCCGATAGCTTAGGCGAGCTTACCATTCCATTTCCACGCATTAAAAAAAAATTTATGGTACATTTTAAAAATGTATTTAACCACGATATATTTTGTATAATGCAATTTACAAAACATGTCGTCGTTTGGTGAGGCGTTCGCGATTATAATCGTATTTTTTACACAGCAATATATACAAAAAAAAAAATTATACCCAGTAATATTTAATAAGTATCTTCCATCGAGAACGTCATGTCAACCCAATACACAGTATCATTAACAGGATAAAAAATGAAGCATTTGTAACTCCCAAGTTCAAAATATAATTCTAATCATCTCAACTTTCCAACTATACCTGTATAGTTAGCCATCACGGAGCTAGCTGTGTGGTCGGCGAGACGACTGGAGCGACCGCTGCGGCGGTACGGGGACACCTTCACGCGAGACTTAGAGAAGTTAGTATCTGTCTTGCGCGGCTCCTCCGTGCCTGCCGCGTCTGCGGACACGACGCATCACACTACACTTATCGTTACCATATTCTATTCATATTATAATACTTCCAATTCTTAATATTATATAAAATACGGCGGCAAGACTGACTAACAGTTTAGTCTGTGCTATTAGCTAAATATGTAAGCTTGTAATTTTTGTTTTATTACTGGCAACAATTGAGTTTTTTAATATCATATTTATACTACCTAACCTAACCTTTTTTTTTTTTTTTTTAACCTCTGGAAAATGCTTTATGCAGACCCATACACCTTGTGGGAGGTGTATGGGTACTGTGGGAGTCCCCCCGTAAGGTGGGGGTGTACCCACCAAAAACCAGACGATATACCCTCGAGGTGCCATATGTCGGAGACATGGGTTCGCTTTCGCACTCACCACATCTCCGACGGCAGCGACCCGCCCCTTGATGGTAAGTAAGAGCAGGTCTCCTCTCTCAAGATAGGGTGAATGGCGTGCTCACCCTACCACTCGGGGGATGCGCCGGTATATAAGCACATCCCCCAGGTACCTAACCTAACCTGGAATGGCAATTGAGAACTATCACCTATACATATGAACAATTACTACAATAAGTTATTACTGAGGGAAAAGGGATTGTTAGCAATGGAGTTTGACAGCCCCATTGCTAGCAATAATGCCTTATTAGGTCGACCTCCACGTGGTTCCCCCTGGAAACCATTGTGAACAATTCTTGTTGAATTCATCACGATGGGCTAACTGACCTACTTCATCCTCATCTATCATCCTTCACTGGTGCCCCGCCGGTGTATACCGATAGCGTGAGTGGGGTTTACCATTCCATTATCATCCATTAAAAAAAAATAGGTTATTATTTCATATCCATACATCAACAGAATAATTTTTACACCAAAACGCACCCAAACGAGCACAGCTGCTTAGTAGACGAAATAGAAGTGGCCTCTTCTTAGCGAATATGTTACGCGAATATCTGACGATACTCATCCAAACAACATTATTCAGTCTTCTTCTGGCGAAGGTAAAATTACTGGTAAGAATAGAATTTTCACTGTTCGAAAAATTTGAAAGCTGACATATAAAATCGGGTAGCGGTACTGTTCTTTATTATGAACTATAAAGGTATATATACCACATTCGACGACCTCTATACAGCCGCGGTTCTTTGCAGCGCAATAGTAAATAAAGCTCCCGCATCATAATGAACGAGGTGCTATTCGAATTCTTCCGAGTCGAGAATTAATTATCCAAAATTTATAAATTCTGTTCAAACCGAGAATTCTAGATTGTATACACCAATTTAATAAAAGATCTGGTTCTTAGCATTACAAGATCTCCTAGTTTGAAGGTTTCATATTTTTGTAGGATTTAGAAAAAAAATCCTCATTATAACTATTTCTTTCAAGTGAGTTTACATATAATAAGTAACTTTATTGACAAAATTTCTTACCTTCTGCTCCTTCAACATCAACCACGATTTCCACTTCCATTTTCTCAGACTTTTCGCCATTTCTCTCAACCTTATCACCATCTTGTTTAGATTCATTCTCCTGTGTTTTTTTAGCCTCTTGCTTATCCTGTTTCTTTGGAGTTTCCTGTGTTTGCTTTGTACTTTCCTGAGGTTTCTCCTGTGTTTTATCCTGGGGTTTTTTGCCATCCGGCTTCGGCGAATCCGCTGAACGAAGTTTGCGATCTGTTGCTAACGCATCGTCTTTCAATTTGAGGACTTTTGAATCTTTTGACTGAAATCGAAGAATCAGTGACGACATATAAAAAAGATGTTTGCGAAGAAATTGATACACTTTTAAGAATAAGATCGACCATTGTTTTTCTGTGCGATTTATTTCTATTAATTGTTACTACTGCTAAATATTCTACTGTAATCTTTTGGTGAAAATAATTTGAACACAAATCCTTCATATGTTAATATAGATATTAAGTTATATAAACATACGTATAATTATATAGTAATCGGTGTGTGTAAGCATTGTCCGCAGCTGACAACCATCGAATACTGTGCAACTTGTAAAGAATTATTTTTAATTTTCGATTTTAAATTTTACTGCGTATTTAATAAGGCTGAAGTAAAGACGAACATCAATTGATGATATTGCATATATAGTATATTACATATAAGTGTATACCCGCACCATTTACTATATATAGTTTGATGAAGATGTATGAGATTAAAAACATTCACGCGAAAATGAAATGTAATTCATTCGGTATAACCCAGCCAATGAAATTGTATAATTGAGTTAATAATACTGCCTCAACGGCATGCTTATTCAACACGAGTATACAAAATTCGTATATATTCATTTATTTTAACCCAAAGGAAAAAGATATCATTTACGATTATTTCGTTGAAAAAAAAAAGTTTCTATTCAAATTAACCATGAGATCCCAAAGCCTATATATAGATAAATTGAAACAAGTTCAAAATATATAGAAAAACTCGTGTCAATCCATATTGGACTTTTATAATATTACTTTATATTCTATAAACCCAGACAGATCATGCAATAAGAAAAAAATGTCGAATTTGGGTCAATGCTAAAGTTATTGAATGCAATTTTGTTAAATTATGTCGCTGTTGTATATTCAGGTGTTACTTATTCAAAAATACATGCAAAATGACACACATTTTTTTTTGTTTATTCTCTACGATTTATTATGAGAAAGTTGATAAATTTGATAATTTTAATATTTGGTTTACTCCTAAGATGTATGTACATCATATTGAAAAATCAGAAAGATTAGAAAATATTTAGTTTAGAACCGAATAATATTAATTTTAAAATTGTAAATTTATTACTAAAGTCTTCAAGAGTGAAAATAAATGATTGGTGCATTGGACAGCATAATATATATATTCTGTACAGTTAATATTATTGTTCAGATCTATAGACAGTGGTGATCTTATATGCTTGTATGCCATTCCTGATTTATATCAATGTTGCTTTGGATTTGAGGCCATAACAGTAACGTAAATAAATACAGAGACGTTAGATAACAGACTACCGAACAATGACGCCCAAAAAGGGTCCGAGGCAACTCTGCTTTAGACAGTAGTGTGATAAATTACACTTGTATAGCTTGTTTTTTATAATAAATCTAGAGAACCCTATTTGAAGAAATTATTTATTGTTATAAAAAACCTTGCAATCTGATTTAAGACATGTAGTAAATTCACACTGCAACTCGGACACATTTTGTACTCGTTTTGTAAATGATTCGATATCTCCATTTTATATTACATCATAATAAAACACTAGAGACAATTTCGATTTCAATGAAGACAGACTTACATCGTCGGCTGCAGCGTCCGGCTGACGGTCGGACGACGGTCGTGGTGTCTCGGGGGTGCGGGTCACTTTTGCCTTCACCAGAAATGTTCTATTAGTGGTAGGTTAGTGTGATCTATGCAGATACTTGAATATTTTTCTTATGTCGTTTTGTATGGTTGCGTAATTTACTGTTATTTAAAATATTAATAGTAGTTTCTTAAGTACTAGTTGTAATAAAATTTCCGATATTAACAAAAATATATTAAAAATATTAAAAATTATAGAGCTGAAGAATATATAGTTATGAAATAAACTTTTTATACAATGAAAATGGGAATAAATGAATTTTATGATTCACATGCTATCATGCTTGACCAACACCTCATTCCAATAGGCAAAACTACTGAAATTAATTAAGAAGTAAATAAACTTAAATCGAAATTATTCTATGATACTCAATAACGCGTCTTAGTTATTCATATAACTGTAATAACAGGTGGTTGACTTATTATTGAATCTTATTTCTACCAAATTTACTGTCTGTATATTGTACTGGCATTATTTTTATTTCAATTATATTTTAAAACTTACTATATGCAATAAACATGTAGTTTATAATGTAAGCTATACTCCACAAAACATTAATTCCGCTATCAATAGCATGTGTGTGACTGACAACACTTAAAGATTGACCACAGTATCGTCAGTTACTAAGAGCACAAACTAATGGCAGCGGAAATAATCAAAATAAATATAATCAAATAATCAGTGATAAAAATAATGAGATATGACATTAAAATATCAAATTTACTTAATAAGAACTAGTAACCTGGCTGGATTCGATAAAAATCAGAATATCATGCAATAATTTCGATCGACTAAGAACCGTAAACTGTGTGGGATTCCCGTAACGTTACCGCTGTCTCTTTCCATCAGCCGGACATGACGAACGCACATGCGCGACAGTATCTACTTCACATGTCATCGCTGACGCGCATGTGCGTCACGAAACGTCCAGACACGTCCGTCACCACACACGCAACGAACACAACAAACTCAGGTACCAAACATGGGTACCTGTGATCTCCTCGTCAGGCTGCGACTTGGGGCGTTCTCCGGTGTCGGCGGTTCGAAACACTCAGCGTCCGACGTGTCGTCATATGTCAGTTCAGGGAACAGTTCGTCTTGGTCGTGATCGTCTATGACCAACATCTCGTCATCATCCGATTCACTCACCGTTCCGTTCAACGCTTCGTCAGTGCCGTTTGTATTCGTGACGTCACTGACACCGTTGTGTACATCTTTTCCGTTCTGTTTTCTGGTATCTTTTTTCTCTTCCTGCTTCTCCTGGAATTATTAGTAAAGTGGCTGATGATGGTTACCATGACTATTAATAATGTTGTTTAGTTGTTATTAAAACACTACATTCATAATAATGTCATATTATATTATTTTTCAACAATGTATAAATGAAAAATTTCAATTGCCTTATTTAATTTTGACAATGTATTGAACACTGTTGTTGTGATCATGCTTTTTAAAAAAAATTATAATATGAAAATTATTTTTGTGGTTAGTATTAGCTCTATAATAAATAAAATAAAACTTTAAATGAATGTTAATTCTATTAAAGTTAAACAAATACCTTTCCATTTCTTTCCCCTTTACTGCTATCTTCTTTAGGCTTCTCTTGCGCTTCTGCTTTCTTTTCCTGGTTTTTCTCCGTAGTCTTTTTATCAGACTTGTCTACATTTTTCTCTGTTTTGTCGTTACTTTTTTCACCGGAATTCTTCTCGCCGACTTTCTCAGCACTCTTTTCAGCTGCTTGTTTTTCTTTTTCGGCATTGGCAGCCACTTTCTTTTTCATTTCTTTAACAGGGCTATCTGTTTGCCTCTGAAATAAAATTAAAAAATAGTATATTTTTAGCGATTAATGAGATAAATTACAGTGCAATCTAAAATTTAGTTTATATTTCTGATACTAATTGTTTAAATACTTGAAACTAAAATTTTATTTTCCAAATTTTTTACTCCAACAATTTTTTTTTTATATATATTTTTATACATTTCAATTACAACAAATAGTTTACCACTCGTTTTAATAAAACAAACAAGAATAACACAGTAAATAAAACATTACAAACAGTAATATAAGACGCACACGCTACAACTAAAACTGGCCGCCAGTGGCCGCATACAAGTTATAAACCCATACAATTTACTACATTGTTCATTTACCCGGAACGCTTTTTTAACATCCTTTGTTTTGCAAGGGGAGTGGTGCATCGTGCTGGCTCTTTCATAAAAACTGCATATAAAACTTGTTACGATGATCCCGTGGATTTTAATCCACAATAATAGCGCTTCATGAGGTTGTACATATGACAAACGGTTTTTGTTATATTTTTTTCGTTAAAAAAAAATATTGGCTTTTTTGTATTAATCTTATTAATGTAATAAAATTGTAAGTAGACGAAGTCTACACATAAAAGATCTTAAAGAAAAATTAATATACCGGGGGGTCTCAACAAATATGAAATTATATTTGTTGTTGTATTGTATTTTTTATGTTTGTTACAATGTTGTGCCGTGCCGTCGTGGCAATGAAATAGAAAAACGCCCAATGTATACAAATCTTAACAATAAGGTTATTCACATTATCATTAAATTAGACAGACAGTGGCCCACATAGTAACTTGTTACGCGGGCATTAACACCTGTCCCCATACATAACTAATAGAGGTTGGTGAGAACACGTGCATACCAACCAACTAATAAAATTAAAATCTGTGTCATCGATAAGTACTCGAAGTGCTGCTTCGCGATATATGATAATGTTATCGACATCAAAACTTGATATTTTTAAATAAAATTATTATGATGATGACCCATATACTACAGAACAAACAACTCTACTACACTATTCTATAAAATCTCACCTTTTCTTTCTCCTTGTCTTCATTTACACCCCCTTTACGGGTGGACACCTTCTGGCTCATGGTGCACCTGGGAATAAAAAAAAATAGTTATCAAAAATGAGAAGTCAATAAATACTAGACTTTACCTAAAATATATATATGGTATACCCTATGTTCTTAAATACTAAACGCCTGTTTCGTGAAAATTCCATATGTACCTTCAACCTTTACCCGCCGCTTCGTTCACATGAATATTGAATTTGTTCAATAATTCTGGTTGTTGGTATAGGTAGAGATAAAATAGTTAAAAAAGAAAACCACGTGTATATTTTAATTATGAATTATAAACAACAATTCTGCAAAGTTTGTTTAAAGTTGGACGATGCAATAATTTGATACAAAAATTACCCTTCCCCTACCTCAATCCTCTATAAGTTTATTAGTAGTTTTTATTTAAGTAGATATCGCTGGATCCACATCCGATGGATTATAATAAGAGCTTGCAACACTAAACTTTGCTAGGTCACATTCTGTATAATAGTATGAGTTTCAAAATTGAAACTAAGTATATCAGTTTATGTATGAATAGTTACAAAAATAAAGTAATATCAAGACGCAACTCAAGATATAGAAGGTAATTAAAAAAAGGCCCGCCGTATCTCCAGATCTAAGAACAGGGCTCCATTGAGATATTTTCAATGTATTTGGGTTATATGACCACATCACAGCACAAGTGTTATTAGTTATTGAAGATCACAATTAAAGAACACAACGGTAAGAAATTGTTATAAAAACTGGTTTTTACCGGTTTTAACTGATACGATAAGGTACCTTCATAGAACAGAATCTCAGGTACGCTGCCTCGATACGGTACATTGAAATATTTCTTGACATAAATTATCAGGGTATAGATGTAAGTTTATGTATTCAGAAGAGAAAAATGTTATTAAAAAATTACTAATTTAATGTTACGAGTCATTTTATTGCAAACGAATTTAAAGACTTGCATATTTTCAGTCGTAGTCAATTAATATTTATCTGCGTCTAACAAACGCAAGTCTACGTGTAGACACGTGGGGTGAATAACCTCGCATATACACTAGTAGTAGGTAGTTAATAATATGTGGTTTGGTTTAAGGGACAGACTGTTTGAACTTATTGTTAAGTTTACCAATTGTACACTTTTTCAACCGACTTTAAAAAGAAGGAGGTTCTAAATTCGGTTGTATATTTTTATAATTGTTACTTCATAAACTCCGTCACTTGTAACCGATTAGGATTTTTTTTTTATCATAACAACATTAAAGGACATACTTAGAAATTCTTCATCATCATTCTTTAACCCTTTAATTGTCCACTTCTGACACACGTCTTTGCCTTCCTAATATGGAGTTTTGCCAGTAAATGCCACGCTTAGCAACGGATTGGAAACCGCAGATAGGCATTTAGAGATATTTTAAGAGGAACGGTGCTGCTCATCACTCCACCATTAAGTTTCTTTGGTCGCCTTTTACGACGCCCACAGGAAAGGAAGGGATGGCCTATTCTATGCCAGATCCGAAGCCAACTTTCAGATTGGTTCCATAGAAATTTTATTAAAATCAATTCATTTCTTTAAACATTAAAAAGACTGGTATTGTAGTCGTTTTTTTAGAGGCATAATCTTTATTATATATAGCACAATAAAAATTATAATAAATAATTATTTTATATTCCTTTGCTAGAACTTTTTACATTCAAATATCTCATATTAGTGGAATTACAAATATGTATTTCTTGAAGAAAAATCTAAACTGACATGAAATTTAATAAAACGCCGTCTATACGCCACCATAAGCTGATAAATGGAAGAAAAAAGATACAAGCTTTTAACTTTTAGTTTCTTTTTATTGCATCAGTACAATGTTGGACAAATATTATAGGCCTATATTTTTCACTTGATAAATTATTTTATTAATAGCTGGTAGGGCTGCATGCTCTAAACTCTATTCACCGTTGCGAAAAGGACCAAATCAATTTGTAGCTAAAGCATTTATCTTAGCGTTCGTCGTATGATCATTCGTCGAACTCTACAGACTGAATTTTCAAGAATAACAACTCATTACCTTGGCACTTTTTCAACATAGAATAATAAGAAGTAGAAATTGCTTCGCCATTTCGTTGATGGGTTATTCAAATTGAGCATCGCCTTAAATCACTGTACATTACAATTACAATAAAAATTAAGATTTATTGATTATTTGATATATCATACATTCGTAACATTATTAAATGGGGAAATCATAAATTTTCATATCGTTCTCTGTACTTTATGGGTAATACTTGAAAGTTTTCTTATTATCACGAAGCAAGATAAAACGAGCGTTATCGAATGGGATGTATTAACAAGTAAGCATAATAATAAGACGTCTCTATATAGCTTTATTTGAATAACGCAGTATAATCTACATTTTGTAGATTACAATTTTGATTAGATAAATATCAGTAATATAAATATTCATGCAAACACGAATTTTTAATACAACAAAGGATTGTTATTGATAGTAACGTAGGTAATAACAGATAAAATATACGGATAGAATGTAAAAAAAAAGAAAAAATATTATTTTAACTTAGTGGCCAATTTAAGTGAATGGTAGATATAGGTAGGTGTAAGACTGTTCTTTATGCAAGTGTATGTAAAGACTACGTCCAGCTATGGACAATTTTTTTTAATAAAGTTGAACAAGCTGTTTCTATTTTGACGTTTAACTTAAACGTCACAATATAAACATTTTAATAATTAAGTGTAAGTACTTATTGAAAGTGTAGCATAAATTTATACAAATTGTAATGCTGAAAAACGATACAATTATTAAACAAGTCCCGCTACAGGCTATGCATTGTACCATATCATGGCATTTAAAAGGCCGCATTACCAAGGGCTCTTTCAGAAATTAGCTTCTGTCGGCACTCGATTATATAAATAGAAAACTGAAAATAAACAATCCATAACATTTTACAGTCTGTAATTTTTAATACCTTTATTGTCTACAATGGTTTCAGTGTCTATTAGGATTCTGAGTACCTGCAACAATAATGATTAGTTTGACTTCTGATAAATATAAAAAGTTATAAAATTTATAGACACATGAAATGAACACGAAAATGACGCAAGATAGATAGAAATTAATGAGAAAATCATTTAATGACTATATTCGTCACTTCAACTTTCCTTATCAAACAACCTGTCAGTTCTATTCAAACTTCTACTAATATTAAAACTAAAGTTTTGAGTTCAAACATAATCTAAATTTTTCCACGCACCGCAATTCAGATACTGTACTCGGCAGTCGATCCAATGTTAGAACTCGTTTTTTAGAAGTAGACTATGGAAAATTTAATACATCGAAATTTAGTTACCTTACTAGTGACATGGTTGTGTTATAGGTACAACAAGGTGTTTTTAGATTAGCTGCTCCGCGGTAATTTTAGGTGTTCCACATAAATTTTTAAGTGAATTCAAAACGGAGGAACTCAAATTGAAAAAAAAAAAAAAATATGCATTTTACAATCGATAAAATTTATTTCTGTGACGATTTAATATTACTTTAGACAATACTGTCGCTATTTTTTGGGACAACCTTTAATTATTCCAACGATATTATGGTCAGATAGGATTTTATCTGTATGTCCACAAACAATGAAGGTTTATTGGTTTAATCTCTACCAATAATAAACTAGGTAATTTATAAGAGGCCACAAATAACACTAAACGTTGTATGAAAAAATTAGTAGTGCCAAATTAGGTCGACCAAGACATTAGTATGGTATCATCAACGGATACATTGCACTAATAATAAGTCCACCTTTATTCTTATATAGGTGTTATTGTGGGTGTCGAAATGATTAAAATAAATACCTAACACAATTCAATATTCACGTATACGTCGGTCCCCTCTATATGTTCCTGTGTGTAAAATAGTACGACCCGCGATGACGATATAGGTGTACACATAAACCTATTTACATAGTGTCGTTGCCGACCTGACATAGTTCTATAATTATGTAAAATTCCAGCCTGCAGTACTTCGTTGGGCGATAAGACAAGTACCTACGTACTCATTCGCAGCGACTAAGATAAATTCCGCAGTAATCTTGCATTGTGTCACGAACCCACGAATGTATTATGTATTACTAGTACCATTTGTAAAATACTAAATATGGAATTGTAATATTTTAAAAAGAACAACAAAAATTATCCATCAAGTGTTATATATTTAAATATTTTGTTCAACAAAAACATACTTCAATCGCGTCGAAAGTATGGGATTAACATGAGAGTCAAACCTTATCGAATACAATTTCTAAAAGAAATACCAAAATCAGTTTAGAAATGGCAAATATATTACGTAACTTACACACAAATAGAAATAACAGACAAACTGTTCCTTTTTAATATCGCTTAAAAACAAACAAAAATTATCCAAATGATCGGCCTAACTTACTGCACTATAAACATATACTTATTGAGTATTGTTATAACTTGGAAATAAATTGAAATTGTTACAAAACAAGGACATCGCTTGCCGGGCATTACAATACATTTATAAAGCATCAAGTTACGGAACACATTGTTTGCTCTCGTAAAAATAAAATTACACTGAGACAAGGGGAGTTGCAATTGGCCATTATTCCATTACGTGATCACTTGTCTTAGCATTCGAAACCATTAAACGAGTCATATCAATAGATGAGGTATTAATGAGTAAATAACTAAATATTAATGTATTGTATTGTCTACAGGGGAGACTTATGACCAGCAGTGGACGAATAATGGCTAAAATGATGATGATGATGAATGTTTTGAAGTAAGGTCATAAACCGGAGAGAACTTTGTGCAACTTAATATTTGCCACATTGTCTTACATATCGTTTAGTTATTAGGATGAAATCGTATATACTGCTTAGTTTGGGCCTAGATAGAGCTAAGTAATATGTCCAGTAGTATATTTTATGTATAAAGAGTAAACCAGGGGTTCCCAAACTTAGTTTGTCTACTGCCTATTTTGAGAATAAATTATTTTAGCGCCCCCATTTTTTCACCTACTCAAAAACTACTATTACTTCAAGATCAACAAATAACCCCCCAAGCCTCTACACAACGCCCCCATTCTTTTTCTAGGTCTCTTGCCGCCCCCCTTTAGGCCTGCAGCGCCCATAAGGGGGCGTTATCGGCCACTTTGGAAAAGGCTGGAGTAAACCAATCTGATACATGGCACTGCAACCGCAACATAGCTGCCACAAACAGCAGCGACGGTGATAAAGCGACGATAACTCAATGGCAACTTAACCTTGACCTCTGATAGACTCCATTATACTCTAACATAAATATACCAACATCCAATATACCCTATGACGTCGACCTCTACGCGATTCACCCTAGAAACTATCGTGGTTAATTTTTGTAGAGTTCGTGACGATGGGCTAATTGATCTGCTTTCATCTTCAACTAATATCTTTTAAAATTGCCTTGTTAACGTATACTAATAGTGCAGAGTCGGTGACAACTGTATTTTAATCCATTAAAAAAATGAAGACAACACTTAATACCAAAACGATCCATCATACATTCATTAGCATAAAGTTTTTTTTTTTTTTTTTATTGAACCTGATTCTACTCATCTACGGTTTTAGAAGAAAACTAAAGATATAAAAAATGTGGAAACGCTGCACTCGTTACGGGGCCCTTTAGGTCGGGTACGGAACATGAAAATTGTTTTGACTGATTGTTAGTTTAAAATTAGATTATTTTATAATTTTATTTTAAATTCACAAATTAACATTTTTAGATTATTTATTGTGTATATAATTTTTAGTACATGTTCATACTGTTGGTTTTATGTTTTCAATAACAATAAATTATATATATGTATATAAAAAAAAACATTTTAGATACCCAAAATTGCTGTAAAATTAACAGTAAGTCACGGTTGCCGACTTGTGTTCCTCGCTGAACTTACATAAACCAAATGCATAACGCGATAGGTCTAAAAATAAAATAATAAACAACAGTAAAGTTAAAAAACTGTACGGGCTTTCAATTAACACACTCCATAGACAAATCATTCATTGTAACGTTTTGGATTCCTGCCATTGGATCGGTCAATGACCGTAAAAAGTTGAAATGTAGCCGAGGCATAGTCATTACATAAAATTATATTGACGGAATTTTGTTTTTTGACTTTAAAGACATAAGCCTTTAAAGTCGAAGATATGACAAAAAACAACTAGTTCGTAATTTAGTTGCGTTCATTGTACGAGTTGAATAAAAAATTTAACTGTAATAATACCCTATAACGAATAGATTCAATGTCAAGAACAACATCGTTCTATAAATTATACAGCATAGAAAAGGAAGGACTCAAGATGAAATAATGTTATCAAATATTCTTTTATATTCCGATCAATAAGAGATCTTATGAAAATAGGAAGGTAATAATGTTATCTCAAAGTTTAAGAAGCTATCATTTGTAATGTAGGCTAGTGTTATTTTAAAATCACGTCGATAAATAGCATATTAATTCTTATCCAGAGTTCTTATCATGCAATAGGTTAATTATCTGAATTGCAACTATAAAATACTATTAAAACCACACGATTTCACTTGCGTATTTTAATAACATAAATAAATATATAAACATTATAAGAAAGAAAAATAAACTCACGATTCTCTGGAAACGGTGTGAAAAAATAAAATGGTGAAGAATTCCAGTTTGCTTCGCAAAAAAAAAACATCTACTTCAATCAATCGTGTCGAAACAGTAATGAACGCTGAGATACAACTATTAATTACAAATGTGGTTCATAATTGGCAAAAATATCGCATAAAATAATCACAAAAAAAAGAATTAGACTAATTGAGATCCTCTTTTTCGAATTCATTTGAAAATCAATCAAACCACTTATTAACACTAAAAATATCTCACTAACACTTCTGAAAAGGAGGATATGAGCCATACACGCCTACGTGGCAAACATTACAATGAATTGTACAAAAGAACCGAGGTACTCAATTCGAACCCTTTAGTAATAGAGAATATATGTACCTACATATTGAATGAGTGTTTGCAAAGTGCATATGTAATGTTAGGGTTCGCACAAAATTTATTTAATTACCATTTTCTTAGTAATTTACAAATAAGTTGCAAATTCAAATTTCCTTACAAATTTTCCTTACCTAAAAATTCCTTACAAATTCTCCTTCAAAAATAGAATTAGGATACTCTTGTATCTTAATTCATCTGAGCAAAATTTTAGAAGTCAACGTAGACATAATTCACTGACCAAAGCACATTGTTCTGTGGCGAAATAAACGAGATTCAATTTTAGTAAGTTTACAAATTGATACTAGCCATTTATGTTGATAACCCTAATAAAACAAAATGCTCAACTAGTACATATTACAATACGCAAATGGAAGAGCATTACCTAGTTAAACAGAGAAATGGTAATTCATATAAGCCGTTTTAGAAATTGTCTGAAAGTGTGTGTAAATTGCGAATTGCACAAAACCTTGTCTATTGTATGTAAATTTTTTCCTTATAATTTGAAAAGGGAAAAATTCTAAACTTTAGTGGTTCTTATAAATATACCTATTACCTAATATATATTTTCACCGTTAAGAGTCCATTTTAAAAAATTTTTACTGAATGAATGAAAAATAGATTCCGTTAAATCCATATTTAAATAATGTATCGTGGACAGTTCGCCATAATATCTGACCATTTTTACGAGAAACTTCACACAAACAGGAGCTTGTGTTAAAATTTCTGAAAGCAAATTCTATAATACCTTAGTTTTGGCTGCACTACGTAGATATTTATTTAAATCATACCAGAGGTAGACTTTGTACAAAAGTCGTTTGCGTGGGTACCTCTGTCCCATTCGTGTTTCAACCGTAAAGCAGTTGTTTGCATGGCTGTTTCGGTTTGAAGGGTGGGATATAGCGTGAATTTATAGGGTACACAGGAATAACACCCGAATCCTCAAGAATGGCAACGTATCGGGAGTATCATAGACCAAACAGTATACTCTGTTATGTCCATGGTACTGCTCATGTCTATAGGCGCCGGTTACCACTTTCCATCAGGTGGGCCGTCAGCTTGATTGCCATTCTAAATTGTATAAAAAAAATGTAAACAAATATAATAAATAATCTTTAAATAAACAATTATGTCATTTTTCACGATTCTATAGCAGCATTCTATATCATCATATCAGCCGTTAACTGATAGGGGTTTGCCAATAATTGCAGGGTTTGGAAACCAGGTTGGTTACCGCAGTTAGGCTTTTAGAGATGTTTTAAAAGGGACGCATCTTATGACTTCAACAGAAAGGAAGAATTCGGCAATTACTTTCAGATTTATTAGGTTGCTTGACTATACAAATAATATAACATAGCTTTTACATGTAGGTACATACATTATAGTGAGAATAAGTTGCGCAAGATTAACTAAAGATATCACGAATTTAAATACGCATATTTGTAATGTAAATTTATGTGGCTCCGGACCATTTCTTTGAATATAACATTCTAATTCTTATTATTCAGTCTATGGGGGAGGTCTATGTTCAACAGTGTTCAATTTACGGCTGATTTAATAATGATGATTTGCAATTTAACGTTGTCATACGATGAGTATTATTACTCAAACAGGTGTAAAAAATGTTACAATTATACGACCTGCAATGACTTCACACAAGTGAATACGTATATCGCTCACTATAATGTAGCTTTTTATATGTAACAAAAGTTTTAAAATTGATAAAGTATTTTTTTATTTATCCATTGCAACAAAACAAAATCTTTGCATTTTGATGGCAATCTGTGGTGACGTTGCTCTTAAAATAGATGTTTCGTTATGTTAAAACTTACATACAGATACAAAGCCTTAACCTTTTAACCGACCTAGTCGCGTTTTTCAGTAGAGAATTGTTTTTGTTTCTACAACTTCTTATTACACAATCAGACAAAATATAAAACCAAATATTTGACATATTTTAAAATTAGGTAATACAGTAAAAATTACAGTATTACATTAAAAATTATTAAAAAAAAAATCGTGTATAACATAAAGTTGCCAATTTGAATTGAGTTAAAATATAATTATATTTTACCTACTAGTTGTACTCGCGACGTCATTTACGTGACTAGAAGATATTGATTTACTGGGATAAAAACATTTCTCCAATGTAAGCCAATAAGTATAAAATACTACAATTAACACATCTAAAAGTAACAAAAAAACAGAGTCCCATTTAAAATATTAGTATTTATCAATAATGAAATTGCAGCATTCTTATTGGATTTATATATGAGCACATAGACAAACAAAGCAGACATCTTATATTACAAGTATGCCTGAATGAATTTTATGCATCAGTTATTTTAATGTGAAGGGCCAAACCTTCGCCAGTGAACTGTAATTAATATTACAGCACACCTTAAAAAAGAGAAGACATCTATTATTTATACTGCTACATAATAAGCATACCTACAAAATTAGACCAACTAAAGTATTAAACATAATTTGATTGGATTTGTCCAAAAAAAGATAATGAAAAATACTATATGAGAAAATACTATATCACACTGAGTACATATTTAAGTCCAGTAAACTTCCTAATCCTACTTAATTGCAACAACTAATTAATTACTAGTATATTATAATAATTATATAGTTACTGTGTTGTGTTTATTTGCCTCTAAGAGAAAAAAAAATAGTGATTTGAATAAATAAAACATTAATAACAAGTCTAAACAATATATTTATAAGAGACATATTTTTGCTTTTACTAAAATCACTTAGATTTTTTTTTATATTAGCATTTTATTAAGGATTTTCAAAATTAAATATCAATATATACTACTAGTTTATACTTGCATATATAATATTATATTAAAGTAAAACTATGCAATTATTTATGAAATCTTTAATTGATGTGGAACACATGTTTGCCTTATCAAAAAGTAAATAAACTGTAAACTTGTATTATCAACAAAATATTTTATTTTTGTACAGCTTGAATGAAAGTAGTAAAAGTATGTGTTATCTTTTTTTAAGTGTATATAATGGTTGAATACACAGGTTTGATAAGATTTATAATAAATTAATTATAATTTGAAAACTACATTGATACAATGTTAATTTCCTTTCAATTAAAATCAGTTTTGTGAAAAAAATTATATATCACATTCAAAAAGTAAAAATTATATATACATATAAATAAGGGTAACAAATAATTATATTCTCAGTAATAAAAGTAACATCTGTAAATCACATGAAAAACATATACTAGCAACCCACCCTGGCTTCGCACAAGTGCACATTACATTAGAAACCTCTAAAATTATCAGCTTCACATGGGTGCACATTACGTCACATCACATTAGAAACCTCTAAAATTATCAGTGTTTCTCTACTACATTATGCATGTATTATACATATAAACCTTCCTCTTGAATCACTCTATCTATTAAAAAAAACCGCTTCAAAATCCCTTGTGTAGTTTTAGATTTAAGAATACATAGAGATTATGTAGTATTTATTATACTATGTAGTGATACCCAAAATAAACTCAAGAATGAACTGAAGAATGGTACAATAAATACCCCCATGAAAAACATCAACTCTTGGTAAATTCTCCAAAATGAGCAGATTTATTCATCATCATTTCAATCATCACTGGTGGCTCTAACATTGTATACCATTAGCATAGCATCATACCGACTTTACCCATTACAACAAAAGCCATTCTCCCTACAATAACCAGTGTTTCAAAAATAGTAATCACCTTATGAATTTTAAGCAGATAACCTAGGAGAAGCTATACTTATTTGGTCATCTAACTACAATTTCAAGTAACTAACAATAAAGCACCAAAGTTTTAGACAAAAAATAGACAAAACTAGTTTTTATGCAACAACCTAGATAACATATAGATTCATAGCGAAAAGACCTTCAAAAGCAGCATAACCATTCTATTTTAATTGAAATTATGTGACTGCCACTGAATAACAATTTGAGTACAGTAAGCCGAAACTACGACGTTAGCATTGTATTACTGAATTACAATTCAATAAAATGAACCGGGCCTGTTGAATTTATAACCTAGGATGTTATTAAAAATATTAAAATAGGAAAAAAATACTTTAAAATTAGTCCTTGAAATATATTCCTCGAGTAATTATATCGCAAACCTATGACTTAATTACATTATTTAAAATAAATATAGAAAAAATAGAGAATGGCGGGCAGCGGCGTAATGGCGCGCACGACCGGATTTTGATATAAACTTGTTTATAAGTTTTACTATAAATACTTACTTTTAGGACTAATAAATATTCCACACACTTAATTTAAAACAGCACAGAACTTATTTGTCGCCAAAATATGCGTATAACGATTAAACAAAATTAATTATAATCGTGTAAGCGTTGTTAACGTTCATCGTTTTTTTCAGAACTGTACAGATTGTTGCCATGCCAACAACAACAAAAAAAAATTTCCTAGCTAATTTACAGTATTACTTCAATTTAAATTAACATATATCTACCTACATACATCTAAAATACTTATTAAAAATCTCTTATTCATCATATTATTAAACTCTATTCTTTTATTGTGCCCTTATTTTACAAACGATGTAACATACACGCTTTATAAAATTACTTAACTACCTATGAAACCATTACACATTAGAATTAATATAGGTATATAATATAAGCAATAACTTATTTATTTCAGCTTTCGCCACAAATTTGTGTGTATTATATTTATTATATTTTTTAAAATAATGATCATGTAATAAGCACTTACATGTAGAGATAAGTTGTCTACGACCATCGATTAAGAATAATAACCGAGGATAATGTTAGTAATAGTGAATGAAAGTAATGTCATTTCAACGACTGCCAATATTGACAAACTGTGTAGCAAAATTGCCAAGTTTAATATTTTTATTTTTTAGGGTAAAATTGTCAATATATAAAAATTATTGAAGAAATTTTAAAGAAAAATAAAACGTATATAAAATTTTTTATACACAGAAATTACATTACATATTAGAAGGGAATACATAATAAGAATCGAGTAATATTTGGAGTAATAAGATAATTTTATTTAGATGTCTGTTCAATAACAAACAGATATAATAAAAAAAACTGACAATCAAGAAGTAACACATCATAACAAAACTTTTAGTGATTTATGTTAATTTAGTTTTGTTATTTATAAATATTAATTATGATCACCATAATTTTTTTATCGTTTATGTAGAAATTATTTGATAAAAAGTGCTCATAATCATCTTTTCAGCCTTTGACTGTCTACTGCTAAACATAAATTTCCCCCTTGAAGGTTTTGCTAGTAGTTGCCACGCTTGGCAGATGGATTAACAACACCAGTTAAGCTTAGGAGATGCTGCTGTCAACCCCTCGCCTTCCCTTGGTTGCCTCTTACGACAATTACGGCCTATATGATAAATCCTACTTATAAGTAATAAATGCTTAAGTATATGAAAACAGAATAAAAAAAAATTATATCGTGTCAATTAGATTTTCTTCAAATTAATATTTAGAAATTGGGGAAAACAAAAAGAAGCATCTAGTAACAGTGTTATGTTTTGATTTAATGTAGTCACTAATCGCTGTCAGTCACTTTACAAGTCATTCCACAGATTAGAGAGAACTTCATTCTCTATCTTCAGCAATTTCATTCAATCCTTTTTGTCAGGTTGACTTCATTGTTTTATTAAACCATGTGGGTTTTTATTTCGAATTTAAAATTTTCGTATTAATTTTAAAAGCTGCACTTATTTCAAATTATTTAAAGCCATGGATTATGAGGTGGGAAGCGTAGCGGCATTAATTTCTGGGGATGTGACCCCAAATCGTCCAAAACTTGTGAGAAAAGCTTTAACTCCAATAAAACATCAGCCGTCGCCCAATGTAACACCTAAAAGTGAGTTTGTGGATGATAGGTCTATATTTTTATCTCCAAGTCTACAGAAAAAAAAAGCTATTGTCAAAAAGTCGCCTAAAAGAATATTTCAGAATCCTGATTTAGATGTAACTTTCGACAATATAAATAATTCTTCAGCGATTAGCCCAAAGGCCGATAAAGTTAAAAAACATTTAGAGGAAGATTTAAGTAATGAAAATTCACAATTGACTAGTCCTAAGCTGCCTAGAAATAAACGTCAAAGTATAGCGCACAATAACAGTAATGATGATGAAGAACAAAAAATTGGGAAAGCTAAAAAAAAAAAGAATGCCCCCCATTCGTCATCAGAAAACATCAGTGAAGTTCTAAAAGATGTTCAATTACGAGTAAAAAATCCAAAAAAGAAGACAGACTTATCTGGATCTCTGGTAAACACGAGTGAAACCAAGAATAATAACTCCGATTTAATCACAAGCACAGAAAATGTAAGTACTGAAAAGAAAAAAAATAAGAAGAGAAAATCTACTGAGCTTATACAAAATGATAACCAAGATAAAAAAATATCAAGTAATAAGCAACAAAATGTACATGAACATATAGACGATGTAATGATTCCTAAAAAGAAAAAGAAAACATCAAAGAAATCAAACTCTGAAAATAAAACTGAAATAGATACTAAGCAAAGTCATGACATCATTTCAAAAACAAATGAAAGTCTAAAAGGTAAATCTAAAAAAAATAATAAAAGTTTTGTTAATCCTAATGCAATAACAGACAAAGATTCTGATTCAGAACATGATTCAGATAATGAAATTGAATCAGAAACAGAACATGCCAACAATGAAATCCTAGATACTGGCCCTGTAGAGAGCTCTGATGAAGAAGAATCTCCTGAAAAGTCCGTGACACCAAAGGTAGAACACGAGCCAGCAACCAGAGATGAGATAAAAAGGACATTGTTTGTAGGCAATGTACCCTTTAGTAATAAATGTAAAAAAGAAGTTAAGAAGATTTTCAGCAAGTATGGAGCAATTGAAACTATTAGGTGAGGTATTTTTTATTTACTTTACAGTATCTTGATATAATTTTGCCATATGGTTCCAGCAGAGAATAGGCCATCCCTTTCTTTCCCATGGGTGTTGTAGGAGGCGACTAAGGTGACTTAAAGGTAGAGGGATGGACAGCAATATCCTTCTTAAAACATCACCAAAAGGTTAACTACAGTTGCCAACCCAGTTGTCAAGTGTAGCAACTAGAGGCAAAACCCCCCTTTTAGGGGAGGCCTATGTTTAATAATGGACAGTTTATGTCTGATATGAATGAATCATATGATTAATAGTATTACCAATCATCTTAAATCATAATTATAATAAAGTGCATTAAAATGTCATTTGAAAGATTTTAAAGTATTTTTTTTACTGCTTGTTATTGTATACATGGTTACCTGATGGAAAATGGTTACTATCGCCCAGTGACATGAATAATAGTATCTTGTATATTACAGAATACACTGTGAGGTCCATGATATTCCTTTTCATGTTATATTCTTTTTCACTTCATGAATATTATTATTTGACTGTTATTTACCACATAAATATATATTACTTAAACTACACAGGTTGATTTGTCCTTTGGAATTTTTTTTTTAATAGAAGATTAAGAAATGGTAACCCTGTCTGCTCTAACAGTATACACTAGTGGGGCACCAGTGAGGCATGATAGGTGAGAATGAAAAGGCATGTTAATTAGCCTATTGTGATGAATACACCTGGAATTCAGCACAATGAATTCCAGCAGGACCATGTGAAGGTCAACCTGATAGGATATATTGCTAGCAATGGGACTGGTAGTTCACATTACTAAGAGTCCCTTTCCTCCATTCTCTAGGATAAAAAAACTAGGCCATGGTTAATTTGCTAATTCAGAAGCTTAGGCTAAGTTTTGACCTTGGAATTCCACTGTTAAGGATTGTGTGAGTGAAATATTGTCATCAAATGTATTAATTTTATTTTCCAGAATCCGCACTGTACCTGTGAAAGATGCCCGGGTTACTCCAAAACTGGCTGTTATAAAAAATGAATTACATCCAGAAAGGTCCACTGTTAATGTTTATATTAAGTTTAAGGAACCATCATCTGTTGAAGAGGTATTTTATTTATAGTTTATAATTCAATACAATTCTTTGCTCATATGCATATCTATACAATTCTAACAAATGTGAAATAAAATTTATAAACTACAAGATATAGTCCTTATTGTATTTGTATTTTAAATTTAGTTATTTCACATTGTGCCTTAAAAAAAATAAGTTGTTAAAAAGAAAAAAATATTAATTTACAGTATTTATTTTTGTACATTTATATACTGTGATTTATATAAAACTATGTGTTTTTAGGCATTAATAGAGAACAATACTGTATTAAATGATCACCACCTCAGGGTATCAAGAAGTGATTCAACAGGGGCCGAACATGATCCTCGCCTTTCTGTTTTTGTGGGAAACCTACCCTTTGCACTGGAAGATGAAGGCTTGAGGGAAAAGTTTAACAAATGTGGCGAAATTGTCTCTGTGAGAATTATAAGAGACAAGAAGACTAATGCTGGAAAAGGTACAAACAGACATATTCTGTGGATTTCAAAAAAGTGAAAATTAACCAATATTCATTATATTTGTATGTACAATGCCCCCATCCAAAAGCCACCATATGCTACTGTAATCTATTGAGGCTTATGTAAAATAGTGTTTATTAAATAATTGTGTATCTTTATTAGTAATTCACACGTTCCCTGGAATTACTTGTGAAAGTGTACATATGTTCTTGCTTGTATTGATCAATTCTTAATTTTGCCAAGTGGTTACAATCCCAGCATTATTTTAAATTGTTTATCATGAAAATATTGAATAAAATTTTGTTTTAGGTTTTGGCTATGTAAACTTTGCTTCAAAGGATGGAGTGGAATTGGCTTTAGCTTTAACAGATGAGGACTTGACTATTAAAAATAGAATATTACGTGTCAAACGGTGTACACAAGTTGGACCTAAAAATAATAATCAGAAGAAAAGTTTTAAAGGAAAACAGTTCAATCAAGGTGGAAGGTATAAACAAAATGATCAAGGGAGAAATTTTTCACAAAATAATCAAGGAAAAAATATAACAGGGAATAATCAAGGCAGAAAATTTTCAGACCAAAAGCAAAGCAGGAATTTCTCAGATCAAGGAAGAAATTTTTCAAATAATCAAGGTGAAAATTTCCAAGGAAAGAATCCGTTTGGTAGAAAACCAAATTTCAGTCAAAGACAAAATCAATATGGTGATAATGTGAATGATGGTGCACAGAGAAGAATTATGAATAAAAGGAAAAATCAGGTTTGGAATATTTTTTCTACTATTAATATTAAAAATAGAAACAAGAAAAATATAATAAGATAGTATGATGTAGATAAAAGTATAATGTAGATTTTTTTAAACTAGCTGAATACCATGGCTTTGTTGGTACTTTATGAGTAAATAATTTCTAAATAGATAATATAGTAATAAATATATAGATTTTTGTAAAAAAAAAAGCAATTTCTCAATTTGATTGTAAATTTCTTTATTACATAGCACCTACTAATTGGGTCTAAATTTCCAATAAAAGAGGATTTACTGTAGAAAAAAACACTAAAAACAATTGAAAGTGATTTCTATTAAGGGAAAGCTAAGGTAGTCTTAAAAAATTAATAGTTTTTATTAATAATAAAAAAAAGAATATAAAAATGAATAAATAAATTACATGTAAGTTAAACCGGTAGTTATTACATTAAAATATAATGTGTACTTATGAAAATTTAACGATATAATTACATTATAATATAAGGAATTGTAAAAAATCACATTTCCTTCCAAATCAAAGTGACTGACAGCAAATTAAGTATATAAGCATTGTAGTGACGCCATATATAATAATAATAATCATCTTAAATAATCATAATAGGATGGTGGAGAAGGTTTATCAAATAACAGGCTAAACACAAACGGGCCCCCCAGAGAGAAGAAAGTGAGAAGGGATTTTGTTGGTATGACTTCTGAGAAGAAAAAGGTAATTTACAACTTTGTACACGAATAGTGCTCTAAGGAGCTTTTTAAGTTAATGCTTCCCTTTCCTTTTCTTTCCAAAACAACATGCTGCGCTCAAATATCACTCACACGCAGTAGGCATAAGCATTCCAAAAGATTCGCAGCTTTCCTCTGTCAAATTTTATATGGAGTTCCCTTTCCGGTCATGTGTTTCGTCCTATTTACAATCCTACAACAGTGGCATAGGCGTGAAAAAATACATTTTCAATCTGTCAAACCGACGATTGCCAACAGTTAAATTGCTGCGATGGCGACCATCACATTTAGACCACATTATCTGCTTACAATCAGGTGGTGTGTAGTCACTTAAATTGTGATGTGGTAAATTAAGAATATGTTAGTCAGTTGATGTATGTAAATAGAAAAACGATTATAGCAATTGGGTTACAATTACGATTCCCATTATTTGAAGTTACAATTCTATAGCCTGAGCAATTTATTCTTAAGGTGTTTATTCACTAAACAAAATTGGATAAGAAACACTAGATAGCGCTGGAATCGAGACTTGTGGTTTTTGTTGATTATTTAGTTTATTTTTTTTTTTAATTGTCGAGTATTGTATCTAATATTTCGTGTGAATGAATACGAAACGAAGAAAGATGATTCTTTCAATTGCCATTTTGGAATAAAAAATAACAGTTCTCTTTTTTTTTACTAAGTCTTTAAATTAGTTTAATAGTACTCTTTTTATTTCAGAAACATACTTTCAACAAAGGAGATAAGAAGAAAAAGGTTTTAAGTGAAATCTTAGCCAATAAATAATGTTGTGCGTGTCGTGTGAATTATTTAATATTTTAATGTTTAAATTTATCTTTAATGAATAAATACAATTAATACGAACTCATGATATATTTTTTATACCAATCCCACATTTATATATATAAGTATATATAAAAACCTCTTGTTACGAGGTTCGTTCACGATAATTTCCGAAACTGCTTAAACAATGAAATTTTATAAATATATATTGTTTGCTCCAATTTGAGAGACAAGTTAGACAAAGATAGTTCTTAGTCCGGTAAAAAATGTTAGCTAGTAAAAATATATTGTGAATAGCTGACTTGGCAAACTTCGATCCGCATAACAGTGCAACATTACTTTATTTTTTTAAAATAAAATTATTTTTCTATAATAAACATAGCCTAAGTTACTCCTTATTACATCAGCTACCTGCCTGTCCTGTCAAAATTGGTCCACAAACAGACAGACAAAAAATTATATTTTGGTGTATGTATCGTATATATATTCATATACATGTAGTAAAAAACGGTTATTTCAATATTACAAACAGACACTCCAATTTTATTTAGATGTATAGATAAAACTTATTTTTCGTTGGTTTAACTGATCTAAAAATACGTGAGGGCACGTAGATAAATTAGCTCGGGTCAAATTGCTAAAGAAAAAAGAAAACAAATAAAAGAAAACCACATTTTATTTGGTACAGTATTATTATAATAATTGTCATTACAAAAAATGTCAATGTTAGCAAAAATAATCACAGTCAGACACTTGTAAAACTAACACTAGTAGACGCGGCCGGCGTCCCTCATACACGTACTTACACGTCGCGGTGTGCACTAAGACTAAGAACCTCAGCAATCCGGTGTGTATATAAATGACCTTACTTACTGTACAATATTAACACTACAGTTTTGACGGAAATATAGAAAAAAAGGAAAGATTCAACCTTAGATTTTAATTTAGATATTCGTAACATTTCTATAAGATATTTATATATTATTTATAATGTAATATGATTTTTTATTAATTATGAACTTATTATTTATTATTATTGCAAAGAAATAATATTAAAGGTCCTGGTATATTCTTTTCTACATTCCCGTTGAAATTTCGGAAAGAATAATAATAATAATAAGCTAACTCAAATGACCAACAGTATAAAACTAATTGTTCGTACATAAACCAACTTAACAATAATTGTCTTGATACTTATACATTTTGAATAGATGGCGCTGATGTTTTCAGATTTTAATTCATTTGCAAATTCAATTACACAGTTATTAAATTTTTCAATGAAAATTATATTTCGTAAAACAACAATATATTATGAAAGTTACAATTGGGTAGTTACTTATTAATTATTACTTTTAAAATTAAGCGCAGTTACAGTATGAATAATTAATATGCATTATTTTTTAATCATGTCAGTTGATAAATTTCAGTAAATTGTTAATGTGTAGGTAGCCTCTTAGGAAATATTGAGGGTTTGAATGCCAGTACTTGAAAAATATAATATTTTAAAGTTTTTGTTAGACAATCAAATACAATTCAATCTGTTGCTTTTGCGAAGCCAGTTAACAAAAACACCACATTTGGTATGGCACCATTCTATTCTATGGTAACTCAGTTATTCAGGTATCCGATATGCCATTATGAATTACTCCTCTCCCTTACAATAGCTTATTTATATGAACCCATAAAGCGCGCGACCTATCATTATTGCTAACATTCCCTTTCTCCATCTATTAAGTACATGTGTACTCGATATACTTAGCATAAATACAAGGCTACTATTTACATCGACTAACAGTCATTTAGCTAAAAAAAATAATTAAACTATTTGTTTTTATGGTTTGAGCAACGATATACATATGATATGCGTTAATTTTAACAGACTTATTTTGAAAAGAAAATGTCGAGATGTGAACGCTGTGTACGATCTCATAGTGCTTGTAACAATCAAAATTTTAATTTTAAAAACTATGTTTTAATATTACTATATTTTTATATATATTATAATAATTACCATTCTTAAAATGTCATACAATATACTTCAATGAAATGTATATATTGAATTATTCTGTCAAATTTTTAAATTTAAATTATCAAAATAATTATTGTGTCCTCTATTAGCAAAATTGAGAAATCTATATTTGAATCGTACCAGCGATTCGTATGAAGTATACGACTGTTCATTCTTTATTGTAAAAAACTTATATAGAATAGTGTGCAAAGGCTAGTTTATTTGTAAAAGAAATTTCTTTTAAGAAACCTATCATTAGATAATTCGTAAGTATTGTATAGAACTTCGATATTTTTATAACTTTTTATTATTGGATTGCATAATTAAATAGAAAAGAAGTATGTGGGTACACAGCGCAACTCTCCCCCTCCCCTCCCCATCACCTAAGAAAATGGCATTCAATTCCTCTTAAACTTCAGAATAGTTAAAGTTACAACTAAAAATAGGGCTATCCATATTAACGTTGATACAAAACCCATATACACATCTGGATCCGTGAGAGGCCACCCTCTCGTTAGGATGGACCTTAAAGAAGTCGTTGCCAACGTAAGGGGAAGGCAGAGTGATACGTATCGTAGGATCCAGGGCATACCCTCGATGGGCCAGATGACTCCGCTGAGCAGTAAGGTGGGATAGAAGGACCCGAGGGCCAGCTGGATAGCGTTACGTTCCAACTCACAGGCCGCTGATATGACGAAACCGAAACACATGCCGCAGAGACCTGTAAGCGAATTTGTGACTTATATTATTGTTGATACATATATATTTTTACATACACAAATATTTTTGACAATAGCATGGCTATTGAAATTCTACTGGAAATGACAAACAAACTGACAATCCATCAGATCGAAAATGGTAACCATTGTTTATAAACATAAATAGTATCATGGAATTCATTATGCTATAGAGCTCATTTTCTTAGTTATAAATTCAAAGAGTATATACATAGTTTACATATTTGTGTTAGATTCAGAACGTTTTTCTCTTCGAAAATAATGCATAAAAACTCGACATTTATGCTTTTTATATCATATAACATAGTGGGTAGTTGGGAACGACGTTAAATGTAGTGTCAAAACAAAGAAGGCGACAATTAATCACTCATCTGGAACTGACCAGATCCTACAACCATTCACAATTATACTACTTCCATCATACTCATGAACACCCGTTCATGAGTATGATGGAAGTAATATAATCTATTAAAGTCTACTCAGACAAAAGGTTAAAAACCATTGACTCTTATCTTTTTTAATGTTTAACAGAAACTAAGCGTTACTTCCCAGCACATATAAATAAATCATTGATGATTAACCAGATGGGTCACACAGATCACCACATTTCAACTATTAATTAATACCGACCTTGCAACAACGTGAGCATGATGACAAACACGATATTCCCGTTGTTCTTGACACCGAAGACAGATATCATGAAGATGAGCACCAAAGCGGTCTGACCACACATGACCACGAACTGCGTGACCACATGGGAGAACAGGATCTCTCCGGGAGACACGCCGGCCACCCATGACCGGTCCAATAGACCTTCCATACGTTCAACGATCAGTGCCGATGATGTGAGCGCGACGGCGAGGAAGAATACGATACTGTTGGTTTCAAAATAAAAAGTTAGTCGTTTTGAGTAAACTTAAAAATTACGTACATACATAAGTATGTATCTACATATTTATGTTAAAGTAGGTAATTACATTTTTGTCATTATTTCAAAAATTTTACCTAATCTTAGTATCACATACAAGAAATTTCTGTTTTTGATAAATTTTCTGGAAGACAACTTAGGTACTACCACACATAATAGTTCCTACTATACTAGGTAATCACCAAGGTGAGATGGGGGGAGGGGCATTGTTAGTAATGCGGACTGCTAACCCCATTGATAGCAATATACTCTGTCAGGTCGACCTCCACGTGGTCTCTTCTAGAAACCATCATGTTGAATTCCTGGTGTATTCATCACGATGGGCTGATTGACCTGCCTTTTCATCTCACCTATCATCCCACACTGGTGCCCCTCCAGTGTATATCGTTAGCGCAGACGGAGTTACCATTCCAATATCATTCATTAAAAACTATACTGGGTACTACATAATAATGTTATTATAAATAAATAAAATAGCTACTTAATTACAGTTTGTCAGAATTTGTAATGGCAACTAATATCAAATAAATTTCCATATAATACAAATAAAATAACATTATTAACATACTGTAAGGTGATTATTAAAAATAAAACAAACTACTCACGTAAGAATAACACCGGGTGCGACGAAATCTGTAAACGAGGGGTTCTTGTTGCCGTAGATAGGGTCCATAAAATCTATCGGGATATCACCCAGCTTCGGATTGTAGTCACACGTTTCGAGCAAGTCCTGCAATTTATTTTAAAAATAATTATATATTAATGAAATTGAAAATGAAATAGGGGGACGATACTTAAAATTATACATATAGATTAATTATACATACACAAATATAAAAAAATTGGATGAAAGTTATAAGGCATACATATTATAATAAATACCACAATAATATGATTTTGTTTTTAGAGCATAATAATTATATATCCAAAAATCAAATTCAAGGAGTTTTTATTTTTAATATTAAATTAAAATTTACCTTAGCAAAGTCCCTGTATGAGAATTGAATGTCCCTGTTAAGCATGAGGCCTATTTGCTGGTTGGACATATCCAGCCAGACCTGCACTTCGGAGGTCTGTATGGTCTCGTTATCTGCTGTGTCCGCTGTAGACAAAACATGTAACTGTATCAATATCATCCACTAGTTGTTTCCTGCAGTTTTGTGCATATGAATCAGTATATAAAATGTCTATCCTATATATTTTCTTTGTGCAACATAGAATGGCAAACAAACTGATAGAAATAATACCCACCCAATAGAAAATGACAACAAAATAGCATATAGAGAAGTTAACAGTGTTAGGATATAACCTACCCGTGTACAAAATTTCATCTAAATCCATTTAGTGTGAACAAGAAACATCCAAACATCATTACAAACTAATATTTATAATTTTCGTAGGATAGTCAAACTGGAAAATATTCTGTTTGTTCCTGTATCAGGTAGACATTAATCGATTACTGACACTTGGCAAACCATTGCGGATCTTTGGGATCATGTTTTTTTTTTTTATAGATATCTAAATATATTTAAAAAAATCAATTTCGAAATAAGAACTTAAGAGCTTGGAACAAGTGTTTAACAATATAATTTCAACAGCGTATGGTAGTTACAAATAATTCCACTTACCTAAAGCCAATCTCGCAACCAGTGAGTCCGTGTAGTTTTCGTTGAAGTACAGCGCGCCCCAGGCCTCGCCCTCCTTGACAGCGTTCAGAGCTGACGTTAGGTCCGCGTAATACTCCTTTATAGTATGTTCTTCGAGCTGATGCAGGTACCGACACGAGAGGTTCTTCATTGAACAGGACGAATTGAATGGACAGTCGCCATTGATCACTTTTACGTCGTCGTTTACTATAGCCTGTGGGAGAAATCATAGATCCTGACTATAATAATAGACACCATACTAAATATAATATTGCTGTCTTCATTATGTTTGCCACGTTTAGATTTATTAGTTTATTTTATGTGTATCGTAAACAAGCTAACGGCCCCACCGATGGAAACTGACAACCGTCGGCTAGAGATATGAACAGCACTATGGATGTCATAAGATAAATACTATATTACTGACAATATACTTTGTGAACAGCCGTAACGCTAATGCAGTTTGTATGTGTGTATGTAACACTGTATTTTTGGTCAATTCTGAACCGATGTTGATCATTATTTTTGTATTCAATAGAATACACTCCCGCTGTTGATTTTATACAAACTTTGCCATAAAAGTCAATGTTTTCAGTAGTAGTATTCATAAATGGGTATGACAAAATAATTTTTGCGACACTGACCACTTCTGTATAAGTTTTGTATTTCTGCAGAGGTGTTCCGTTCGAAATTAAAGTTTGTAACATACCAGTTTAAGCCCGCTGGGGTCCCGTCCAATCGCCAAACAGAAGAGGATCACTTGCATGACAGGCAGCACAAAGATGAACAACATCACGCCGATATTTCTCCACATTCGCAAGAAGTTCTTCTGAATTAAGGCTTTTATTTTACCTCGAGACGTTATCTGTAAAAGAAACATTATAAGCATCTATGGAACGCAGAAATTAAAAATAGAAAAAACATTGTATCACACAAATCGATTGATGGATTCTGTAAAAATATAGATTAGTTTTCAAGTAGTTGTTGCTCTCAATTCACCTGTATTTTTTAATTAATTCATGTATTTATTTTATGGCTATATTATGTGATTACAACGAGAATTCTATATTAATTCTAAAAAAATATTTTTACGATTTATATGGTCTATTCCTCATATTAATCTAATTAATCTTGTAACTGTTAAAACTGCCGTTTTTCTTTGCAGAGCAAAAAAACTGCAATAGCTACAACTACAGATGCAATATTGTAGACAAGCAGTTTTTTATAAAAATAATAATAATTGAGGATCGTGTTCGATTTCGTATTCTAATTTTAAACTTTAACTATTGGCGTTGCTGGTTTTTTTTGCAGAAAATATGTATAGTTGTTATTGTTAATTTTTGCTATCTTTTTACCTATGTTACAAAAGTAATAGTAAATTTGCTAATTACCTTTTGGTGCCTTAACGCCTTAACCAATCATTATGAAATTTGGTATATACGTACTATGTGATAAAGAAGAACATAAAATAATTCTATGGCGGTTAATATCTCAGCTATTTGGATGAAATCGCATGTAAAAGCTAGTAAAATACAAATACAGCAATAAACACGTACATTACTCAAATTGAAGCAGTCGGTACACTCTTCGCACTCGGTCGTCATAACTTCGGTCATCTTTCCTGGAAGCTAGAACACAAATTCAATATTTACTATATATGTTAATGACCGCGAATGTGAATTACAAATAGAACGTAACAACCATAGATAGACAAGAAAACCTAGATCACTAGATCAGAGACTAAAAACATCACTGTAAACAGAGACCATTAAATAAAATTTTGTACTATTCTCTAACGATACAGTGGTGTTTGCACTCATACGTATTGAAATATTGTAAAATAATAGTTTATTTGACTCAATTTTTGTCTTCTATATCCTGTAATAGTTTGGAACAGTATTACATGTGTCGAATATTATATGGGATTGTTAATCTTAGGTTTTTGTGTACCAATACAAAATTACATATTTTGTCACTTAAATCTTTGTACAGATATTGTAGGTAATAACTTTGTAAAAATAATTTAATATTCATTGGATTTCTTGAATAATGTTAAAAACTTGTTTAAACAAGTTTTTTTCCACAAATGCTGCAATGTCAATACCTACTTATCTCACTACTTAACAATATTTTCAATTTTCAATCGACTTCAAAAATAAGGAACTTAATCCGACTGTATTTTTTGTTATGTTTATGCTTACGCGATTCTTAGCCAGTTAAAAATCTGAACCAATGTTTATTCAAAATAAATAAATATTCTGAATAATAAAGCTTTTTTATTCGAAACAATTGAACTAAAGTTCAGTGTTATTTATATTATGGTTTTCTATAATTATATTTATTATTTAAATTATTAATTGTTTATTATTAATTTATAATTATTATTTTTACTTATATTTTTTTAGTTTTTTATGTTAATTAAAATTATATTAAGTAATTATAAATAGCTTAATAAACTATTTATAAATAATACTTATAAGGTATAAGGTATTTACCTACCATATATTCTCAATAGTAAAGTTATAAAAGTAATAATATATACTCACGTCTCCGTTAGAGCTAGCTCCATTTTCTATTATAAGCACTTCCTTGCTCTGATGGAAATTCAAACCCTTGACTTGAGCATCCTCTGCTGCGTAAGGCGCTTCTTCCCTCTTGGACAGCTTGTTCAGACCGAGGGCTCCACCAGACACGTTCAGTTCTACCACTTGATTGGACTGACCTGTGGAATAAAGATTTATTTCTATTTTACTGTCCAAAGCTTTTTTATAATTAAATATATAAGTGCCACGTAATCACATTATTCTAATAAAAATAATAAAGAATTATCTATTTAAAAAAAAAGTATTTTTAACCCCGCACGCGCTAATCGATTAAACTGGCGTGGAACTAGTGTGGAAAAGGGGGGGGGGGGTGGAGGAAGAGAATGTCGGGCACTTTAATCCTCATCTATCATTGCTTACTTGTGCAACGCCTGTGTGTACCGATAGTGCAAGCGAGAAAATATTAGCGAGAGACAACAGATGTACTAAATTGTAAAAAACAAAATTGAAAATACATCTATACAAATTTTTACTTGTATTCTCGAATAATTTTCAATGAGTATTATAAAACATTCAGTGATTATTTCTTGTTTGGTTACCTACCTAACGTTATAGTTAGATATCTAACTACTCGGAATTACCTACCTATTGCATATTATTCCATTCCATCTTTATGCTAACCTTACGGTATATAGCATTGTATAAAAACTTAAAATTATTTTCTTAATTATAGGCTTTCAAACGTTTTTTTACAACACAGGTGGCAAACGAGCATGTGGCTCACCTGATGGTAAATGACTACCGCCGCCCATGATCACCCACGTGACAAGTAAAACAATATATAGCAAATTATTTTGCATATAATCACTTTATTTATATATTTACATTATTTATTCAGCAGCTTGTAGCATTAATACAACAACTTATAAATAGACACCCATTGTTAATCACGAATTCAAATTATAAAAAGGAAAATTCCAACTAAATTTAAGATAATATTTTATAATTTATTATAATTATTTACTGTGGCTGGATGTTCCTACTGAAGCTGTATAATTTACTGTGATGTATTTGATTGTAATAAGTTAATTCAGACATGCTACTTTATCTGCGTTGATCTTTGCAAACTATACCAACATGGTATACTGGTGTTACAGGCGTCCATTGGCTACGTTAACCCCGTTTACTATTAGACGGGCCGTATACTTGTTTACCATCATAGTAATAAAAAAATAAGTAATATTCAAGTACTATCAAAATTGTAGGAAAAATTTTAGTGATATTTTGTTGTGTTAAACAATTTATTGTATTCCTTAGCTCTGCTGTAGTTTTTTTTAAGCTTTAAATAAATATGTATTTTACTTTTTTTATGGATCACAAGATCACAAGAAGTGATTCACCTTTAGAGGAAGAAAGTATATTAATAATGGTAACTAACAGTACCATTGCTAGTAATACTGCTCTGATGTCTACATTTATTCCGTCCCACCCCCTTCTCTTTAACACGAGTGGAGTAGAGGTACGCATGCAAACAACTTTTGTGTAGTTTCCCTTTGTTCCTTTTTAATTATTATCAAATATAAGGTATATTAACGTCCAACACACGTTTATATGTTGCGCTTTCCATTTAATCCCAATTAGATTATATCGAATCACCTCGCTGTATGGGCAGACGTATAATAATACCTTAATATCGTATAACGGGCCACTGCAAGTCGCGTGCCGCCATTATGAAATGCCTCTGAAAGCAAGGTCGCAGTGCATCGCAATTGTTTATTTTGTAATGAAGACGCATTATACGTACAAAAACGTGGATTGGATTTTATTGGGTACATCTTAATTATATGATAAACATTATGGAAAAAACGATAGCCACTAGAGAAAAATGCTACTTAGAAAAATGCAAGGTCAAAGCTCGGCTTTATGAACACACAAGATCTATAATATATACCAACTACGCATTTGTTATCTTTTCTTTTATATAACACTATTTATATTCCTTGGTCTCGCCCATGTCGTCATATTGAATTAATCTATAACCTCCCTCAAGAAATAAGCTATCAAATGTAAATGGAATTTTCCAATTCCGACTTGCAGTTTCAATATAAACAAACACTTTCGCTTTATTATTGGTATATGGATAACAATTTTAATAATAAAGACCAGCGTTTGAAAGCCGTAAGGATTTTTCTAACATGCTGAAAAGCTACCTTTTTAGTGGCATAATTTACATACTTTTTTACTACTCAATTTTAATATTAATGACCCTAGATAAGTATAATAGGTTACTTTTTTCATTTCTTTTAATTCGCCTAGCAGACTTTTTACATGGAGAGATTTCTTCATAATTGAACTAATGCTAATGACTTAAATCAGTACTTCATTTCTATATAAAGTTGGTATATACTTATATATTTTATTCTTATTTATAAAAAATCTACTGGATTTTTTATTATTATTGCGTGATTAATTTTTTTTTTTATTTTTATCACATAATAATTCTTGTAATATAATTTTTACATTTTATGATATAGAGCGAGTCTATAACAATGTGCAATTAATATTTAAATCTATTCATAATTATTTAACTAATAATATTATATATGAAATAGTAATAAGTATATATTTAACAATGATTAAACGTCAACCAGATATATTTATGCTTGATATAGACAAATAGGTATTTTTATGCCAATTATTCTAACTACTCTTTGTATTATATTTGCAAAAGGTAACTAATTTGCTTAAAGGTAAGTAAATTTCTACATATTTATTCTTCAACTTGCAAACAATATATAATGTAAATTAGTATTTAGCAATACCGGTTGTTACTATTCAATTTTATCGACGAAATTAATATGACGCAGGGTTTCTTAAATTTTTTTTATACTAAAATGGTTGCGAGCAAATAAATATATAGGCCGTCTGATGGTAAACGGTTACCATAGATTATGAACCCCTACAACATTAAGAGTGTACCATGCGCGTATCTCTTACTTTTAAGAAACATTAAAATGCTCTTGTTGTGTAACACCATGCTTCGTAATGAAACTAAATTAATAAAAACACGATAATATACGTAAAAGAAACATTTAAAGCTTTTGTTTCACAAAAAATAAACATCTAATTCATTTATGATAAAATTTATATGGGACCAACAAGGACGTCAATGGATTAAAAGTATACATATCTATGTTAATAACGTAAAAGTATAAATTATCATTGCAACTTGTTAGCAATTCTAAAGGCCAACTAGATACCAAATAAAGACGAACTAAACAACAGTTTACGTGTTCTTACAATATGTGATATATACAATATACGTACATAAACTAAAATTGGATCACATTGTTATAATAATTTAAGATTGTGTTTTATAAAAAAAAAAAACTTCAATTGTGGTAAAACCAATCATTTTGATTTAATAACTGAACTACTAAATACAATTGATACACTTTTATAGGGCCAATTTGTAAGTATATCCTTTCAGATAAAAGAAAAATTTTACAAATCGATTTACAACTAACGGAGTTGTGAGGTACCAACATAAAAAAACACAACCGAATTCAAAACCTCCTACTTTTTAAAGTCGGTTAAAAAATAGAATATGGCACTTCAATTAATACAAAGCCTATTCTATATATAAACTATATTAATTAATCCAGTTACGAAACATTAGATGACATAACAGTGATGGTTTTATCGAGGTTACCAGCTCATTATGTAAATAGTGCCAAAAATAAAACATTTATATACAAATTTTGTATATTATGATAGTCAAAGCGTAGAATTTCAGCACATCGTTCCGAATTAAAAATAAAAAGATCTATAGCATAGTTCGGTTTGATAAAAATAATCTAGTCGTGATAGGGTTGGAATTATTAGTAACGAGTGACTCTATTGCTAGCAATATACATACTCTGTCAGATGAATCTTTTTTTTTATACAACTTAGAATGGCAAACAAGCTGACGGTCCACCTGATGGAAAAGGAGGACCGTCGCCTATAGACATGAGCAGTACCATGAACATAACAGAGTATACTGTCTCGCCCATGATACCCCCCATGCGTTGCCATTCCTAAGGACTCAGGTGTTATTCCTGTGTACCCAGTAAATTCACGCCATATCCCACCCTTCAAACCGAAACACAGCCATGCAAACACAGCTGCTTCACGGTTGAAACACGAATGGGACAGAGGTACCCAAGCAATCGACTTTTGGACAAAGTTTCTACGCGTTCTCCCCTAGAAACCGTCGTGGTTAAATCTTGAATTCATTTTGATGGGCCAACTAATCTACTTTCTCCTCACCTACCAATCATCACTGATACAATGAAACGCCAAATGCTTCGATTTATACAAACCTCTTTTGCTTCTTCCAAATTCATCACCTTTTCATATATGCTCACCGGTTACGGGTATTTTTAATTTGACCCTTTATCAGCACGTAACCTATTTGATCGACATACGTCCGTTTAGGGCAGCCCCTTCCGACATCAGTATTCATTCTTGCTCGATATATACCCATATGGGTATTACATAGATTAAAAAAATACCTAAATACAATATCAGTAGAACAGCTGGTTTTAGTCGCTGCCCCAAAATAACATTCCATAGAAGGCCCTACCACAGACTTAAGAACACATACCACAGACATAAGAATGGCAAAAAAAAACGATCTGCCTTTGATTATAATATAGCAGATTGGAGATGCTTTTCTCTCTAATGAAGATAACAGCGTTTCATTATATACTTAAAACAGTCTGCTGTCAAGTTTTTTTGGTTATTCATTAATTTTATTTCAATCATAGAATTATGTTAAAATTTTATTTACTATCATGCTAAAATATAAAAACGTAAATAAAGTTTAATATGTGTGTGTGTATGTGTGTGCATGCATGTGTGGGTAGGCATATGGTATGATATGGCATGATAGATAGATACAATATCCATTTTGAAGACAGTTAAAGCTATAGCTATATGAGTGTTAGGTTTAATTAGGTTAGGTGGTCTTTTCGATTTTACCTTCAATTTTCATTCCAAACTATCGAATGTTAATATAAAAAAAAATTCCAGGTCGACCTCCTCGCGGTTCTCCCTGGAAACTATCATGATTCATTCCTGATGAATTCATCATGATGGGCTAACTGGCCTGTTTTCATTCACATCTATCACCCTTCACTGGTGCTCCGCCAGCGTATCCCGTTAGCGCAAGCGGGGTTACCATACCATTTTCACCCATCAAATAAAAAATAAAATAAAAATAATAGTACTAACCCTGTTTCCTGGAGAGCTTTAGGAATACGTCTTCTAACGAGATGCAATTGTACATGGTGAGAAGCGCTTGTGGAGACTCTTCAGCTAGTAGCCGCCCGCTTCTCATCAGACCGATCTGGTGACAAAATTACTAGTAGTAGAAATAAGTTTTATTTAGAAGTACTTAGTGTAATATAGGCAATTTGGGTATTATATTTCATTGACTATTGTAACCACATTGGTACCTATGACTATGTATAACAAATTGTGTACAATTACTAATATTTTAATTTATATGAAAGTATGGAAATTCTAATACATTATTTAGTTCTTTTTAGATTTTTTATTAGTCACTTAAAGAATTAATGAAAAATTATAATTTCGAATCAAACAAAAAATAAGTTGCATCAATTTCAAGAAAAAACATCACATATTTTGTAAACACATCTAAATCTTTAATAAAAACAACTTATAAAATCTAAAAACTAACGTAGAAACAAAACCGGTCGATTGATATTTATTAATGTAGTAATAATCAACAGGTGGACGATTCGATTATAGTTCGCCCACATAATGGTTACCATATTTGTAAATTAATGTCACTACAATCAAAACTCAAATAGCCCACAGGTCTACAGTCCCAAGGTTCATAATGTACCTAACGATCAATAGTAATCCAATTTTGTCCCATTATTTTATTGTGTAAAATTACACAATAAAATAACCCATATGCTTGAAAATTGCATCATTATTAAAAAAAACAATAGGTACGTGAATTGACTTTTTTCAATCCTAAACAAAATAACACGCCACAAAATCCCAACATAACAATAATGGAAAATTGTAAAACAATTTTATTTACTTTTTTTAGCAAATTCCTAGCACAGGATTCCTATTTTTCTTTTATTATCATTAAACTATTTTAGAATGTTAATCAGTTCTTTTTTAAGTATGATATACATATGTACATCTTATAATTTTATACATATGGTATAAATATTTAAAAACTCAACGTGCTTTTACTTTTTAACTATTTTCAAAAAGACGATAATTTCTGTCCAAATCGATTGTGTAATAAGACGTGTAATCTTTGCAATTGTATTGAACTACTATTCGAAGGTATCATCGGCTGATAATTAAAATTGTGGATATATATATCTACTACCATTGCTAAATTAATTTTTTTCCATTAAGATTCCATTATGATACTACTCTAGCCCATGGTCACACAATATAAAGAGGTACAGATCAACCAGTTTTTTGCAAGGTCCCAAAAATACAAGGGTCAAGACATAATAAACAGCGGCCTTTTAATTCGTTTAAAATTAAGTGGAGGTCAATATAACGTATTCATTCAATCAGTTGAATTGACATTATAATACACAATTAATATGATTATTGATTGTTAAAGGTATTAGTACAATATTTATACGTATCATTTGTTATGTAACGAAAAAAAATCTCTATCTTGTAAGAAACTTAACAGTTTTCGTTAAAAACATTTTACAAAATAATTAAAAATAATAACAATAATTATCTATAAATAAAATATAATAATGTATTAATTTATGTAATCCGTTACCCTAATATTATTTATTGGTTTTATTTATATAATTAAAAAATCACAGATGTAAAATGAAATCAAAATTTTACAATGAATTGGGATAATGAATAACAAATCTTTCAAGCAATATCAATCCTCATTAGTTCCAATCATATTTTATGGACTGGATATACTAGATTTTGTACAAAATATTTAAAAGAGTAATTTAAATTTAAAACATTTGTATAAAGTGCTTTTCTGGTATATTTGGAAACTATACCTAATAGCACACGAAAAAGTGTATTTCGAGTGGAAAGTAACTAAAATAATAATAATTTTATAAAGCTGCCCATTACACACTTCTACTATAGGTAATAGCTATATAAGCACACTAACAAATGCAACCACTATATACTATGTTATTGCAACAAATTTGGTTCATTTTAAAATCTCTTCAACAACATGCCTATTCATTCTAAAACCATAGCCTTGGAATCACATTCATAAAACCCATGTGTGCTTGATTTAATATTGATATTTAAGGTAGAATATTAAATACTTAACAAACACGTTTACATTTACAAGAATTAAGATATTAAATTAATCGGCGTCGTGGTTGGTTCAAACGGATATGAGGACATAAAAATAATGTCTGATATGGTCACGATGCTAAATATTTCTATAATAGAAATATGACTGAAATTAAAAATCAAAAGTATTTACGTCGAGATTCCATTTTTAACCGACTTCAAAAAGAAAGAGGTTCTCATTATGGTTGTATTTGTTTTCATGTTGTTTAAACAAAATCTTTATATGTATATATATTATATATATATACATATAAAGATTTTGATTTTATTAACAAATACATTTTGGACTGCAAAATACTTCACTCGTTTACACATACAAACAGAGCAAAGGAATCATCTTCTATAAATATATTAGATTGAAAATATTTGACTTTAGAATGTAAAATTATGTCTCTACAAGTAATTTTCTACAGACCAGCAGTTTTGAAATCTGTAAAGAAAAATGGCTACTTCAGTGTTCATATAATTAATATGATACGAGATGAAATCCTATCAATTTCAAAAACAATTATGAAAATCGGTTTAGAATTGGTGACATGATAAAAATTCAGATGAATTCAGAATCTCTTTTTGTACAATTATAAATATATACAGATATAAAACATGACTAAATAATAAATTAGGTAAAACATTAACTAGTGTCTCTTTTAAAAATATTTATTTAAGTATAAGGTTAAAACAGCCGAGCATTAATATAAAATATCTTAGGAGGTCAATACACTTTCAAATATTCAGGATTATGTCTACACCAATTTATTAATGTAATAAGCAAGTTAGGTGCGCATCTCTTTTTACATTGTGAACTAACAATAGCTATCATAGTTTTAGAAATCATCATTTTCTTTCTGGTCTTATCCCAATTATTTGGGGTCAGCGTAATATTATATTATTAATATTTCCAAGATTTTAGCTTTTGGTTTTACAACCGACCACCTGTCTGACGTTGGGGGGAAAAGGATTGTTAACGATGGAGTTTGACTGCCCCATTGCTAGCAATATGCCCTATTAGGTCGACCTCCACGTGGTTCCCCCTGGAAACCATCGTGAACAATTCTTGTTGAATTCGTCACGATGGGCTAACTGACCTGCCTCATCCTCACTTATCATCCTTCACTGGTGCCCCGCCGGTGTATACCGTTAGCGCGGGTGGGGTTACCATTTCATTGTCACCCATTAAAAAAAAACCTGTCTGACGTCATCCATCATTGGGAACGACGATAATGCTTCGTAACTGCTATTTTTTTCTTATTAAGTATATCACGTGTTTATTGTGTGATTTTCCTTTGGCATTTCCATTAATTTATAAAATCTTTAATAACACTCACATTAAAAATAATGTTATGAGATCACTATTTGTTCTATTTAGCTTGTATCTATCGATAATAATTATATGTGCCGACATAAATAATCCTATATATTACAAGAGAGATTAATAACCACGTAAGAAATATTATGCAAAAATTGACGCGGAATGATTTCTTGCGTCATTTACGTTTACGTATATAGATAGAAAACAGTATGTTAGTAAGACAAAATTTTGTCAAACTAACATCATGTGTAGTTTATGAAACATGTTTTTTTTTCATAGTTCATTAATGTCAACTGAACAAAAAATCTTATGTACAGAATAGGTATAGCCTGTTGCTAGGTTATATTAGAATGTCATCATAATTTTATTTAAATGTTCTATTTAAATCTTTAAACACAAAGAGTATCTAATAATACATGATATGTACATAATAACATATTGATTCGTTACCCCCCCCCCCCCCTTGAAAAGGCTCCGAAAATATAGTTGAACTTATCCGTCATATTCGAGAACTATTGGTACTTGTAGGTGCTAATCTACTAAGTTACTACTAGAAATAGCTTTGTATATGTATTTATAATATTAACACATATTTTGTTACTTTAATGTGTATACCAATTACTTACAGTTACCTCTGAGATTCTAATCAAAACCGAAACACTGTCATTTATCAAGGTAAACCGAAAAATGGCTTTAGTTGGTGTGAACCAACTCAATGAATTCGAATAAACTTAAAAGATATCGACTATTATTATTATTTATTTAAAATTATTTTGACCCATTTTTTTATTAAAATTATTATATACATATTATTAATACAAACAGTAAATTAAATATTAAAATTATATGTACAATAAATTATATATATTGAATGCACTGCAAAAAATATGATATTTTTCGGGACGGATGCAATAATTTGATATCTCACTCACTCTTCGTAAGGAGCGGAATTCCGTTTTAATGTTAATTTTTTATTACTAAAATGCTTATACCAGACAAGCATTTTTTTCATTCAAAATAATTTTTATTTTCTATATTTTAGGTCATAAAAGGATTTGTGATTGGAACATTAATAGTTGAGCTGTAAATCTATTTTGAAGAACTTGAAAACAACAAAATTTTTTAAATTTAGTGGGTTTAAGAGCAAATACAAAAGTAAAAAGTACTTACACAATGCGCTTGCCTCGCTTCTTCAATGTAATGTGTGGTGATTATGACAGTCTTGTCTCCTGAGCTGGTGATGCGAACGAGGTGGGTCCAGATTGACTGTCGGAGTAACGGGTCTACGCCCACTGTAGGCTCGTCCAGGATCAGGAGCTCTGGGTCGTGCATAAGGGCCACGGCGAACGACACACGGCGCTGTTGACCACCGCTATAAAAAAAAATATAATAAGTACTTAAGTATAATAAGGCTCTAAGCGAATCACATTTATTTAAAAGTACTATATTCCAAGACTTGTCCTCCCCTATTTCCTTTCCCACATAAGTCCCTTGTTCCCCTTTATTTACCAATTTCATTTACGCATTTCCAACGTTCCTTTCTTTTTTCCTCAATCCTTTCCTCCATACCGTAGGTGGCAGAAACCATCAATAAATGCATTCCCAAAGAGGGTTGACGTCAGGCAGGCGGCCGTCGTAAAATATAAACTAAATCTTTTTGTAATATGCTAAAAAATATATTGCGCCGACACAAAATAATAATTGGATAGACTAACCATCTATGTAACAAAATAATTGAGTATCATCTAAACATTGAAACGGGTTTACGAACTTTTATGTTTGTTACATAAGGACAATAATTTACACAGAAAAAATCGCCGGTCGACTAATATATAATAAGGAGGTCACACTATTTATAGGACAATTATAGCCTAATGAACATTACGGGACTGTAGGTACTATTATTTATCTATGAACATTATCGTCACGTGGACAATCAATAGGAAACGTTAGCGAGTCCCACATTGAGAACCTAACTGTATGTACTTTGTATGAAACGATTTCAAAGTATTTAACCTAGTTGTTTCTATTTATTCAACTAAAGAATATAAGAGGTTATACAGTTACATCAGCTTATCAGTCAGGCAGTGCATAATATTTATAGCATTTTCGTTTTAATTCAGTAAATTAAAAAATCCACGTTATATGAACAGGACTCTCAAAATGGGTGCCATACTAACATTTTTAGGCAAGAAATGTAAAATCGTTACGACACACCGCACGCAGTACCTAAAACTATAAAATGACTACACCAAAAGTATATAATAGATAAATAGTAAAAATAAGGATTATATAAATAAACAGAAGCTATATTTCAATTTTGAAAATAGTATACCTATATAGTAATCTAAAAATGATAGCCTATAAGATCTTGACAATACATATATTTTTTTAATTAATATGAATACAAAAACGGGCGTCAGGAGTGTCCTTTTCTAGGAATCTGTGCAAATCGCTGCAGTGTCCCAGTCCTTTTCGCAACTGTAGTGTCCCCCCTTTCCTTTCCCACATAAGTTCCTTATTTCTCCTAATTACCAATTTCCTTTACGCATTTTCAAAGAGGTTTGACGTCAGGCAGACGGACGGTCGTAGAACTATAAGCCAAATCTTTTTTGTATGGATAAAAAGTAAGTATGAATAAAAAGACATATTACGCCGACCTCAAATAAATTAAGATAAGGATAGGAAAATGGTGAATAGAAAAACGTGTAAAGAAAGTATAAAATATTAGAATTTAATGTTCAATTTAAAACACGTATTCTATAAACCATGAGGCAGCATTTTTTGATAGTAAAGACAAGATATATCTACCATTATATTTATCAATATAAAAAATGTTATACCACACATTATAAGTCTGAGGTATGATGTCACTTTCTCTGCTGTTAAATAACGCAAACAATTGATATGTAAAAGATTGGAAAACTCCCGATATGGCAAGTCATTACATTGTTACACCAAATCAATACATTCTGATTTGAACGTCTTTGACTTTAGATATGTATGTATATTATAATAGAAATGTATTCGCTTTATTAAGAGTTATCAGCAACCTTATGAGTTCGATGAATACCTATGATTGTAATACATAGGTGTTATAGTCATACATGCCTATGCATGTTTAATGACTTTTAATAATTAAAATTAGTAATCTTGAAGTTTTCTATTAGCAAGTATTTTAATGAAACAATATAAGTTTTTATTCCGCAGAAAAATGTGGAATCTATACAGGAATGATAATTCATATCGGCTGCACAAAGACCAGTTCAGAATTGCTGATGATTTTACGACCTTCTATATATAGATTTTTTTTTAATCAATTTTTACTACAAATAACGATTAATTCGTTTAATGCGTATGTCGTGATAATTTCAATATTTATGTTTTATTTTATCTCTCTTGGTACAGCCTGTGTATCGATATATATTTATTAGCACCATAGTAATTGTAAGTGATGTCAACAAAATAACAGTAATAAACGTAGACACTAGAACAGTCACATCATTAGTTGACAATAGCTGTATCAAATAGAATTTTCCGCCATTTTATTCATTTGTTGTAACGGAACTAATGACTAATAATGTGATTCGTCATGATCATTAACTAATGAATACGTACACTTTTAACCTTTTCCGGAATAAGTTCACACTTGAAATGTTATTGTAGAGAATAGGGATAATTACATGTATAGCTACAAATAATATAATACTACCTACGGAAAAGTTTCTAAGAAAAAGAATGTATATTTAAAAGAACCCTAAGAGATTTAGTCTTTTACCTCCTCGTGACATTTGTTTGCTTTACGGTCTAGTCCGAGTTTCATAAAGATCTTACTTAAGTCACACCCCGAATATTTGATAATACACCAGACACATCAAGCAAAAATGGTGTGAACGATGGCTGTCATTTCTTTATAAATAAATAGAAATACTCGTATACTTAAATGAATATTTTGAAGCGAGAGAAGAAGAGGTAACGTCAGTTTGAAAGAGTGGCAGTAAGTACCTAAACTGCACAGAGTTCGTTCTCGTATAGTATGTACCATTATTACAGAAATATTACATTGAATATTGCATGTATATATTCAACCATATAAACTTTGCTATAATATTTTTTTAGGTTTGTATCAAACGTTTAATTGATTAAAAGTATTTATTAAATTTCGTCTGATGCACTGCCATTAAAAAGATATTATATTGAATTTAAGTATAAATATTCTGTGCATTTTATTGGGTGTATATTATGTAAATAGATTATGGCTTTTTTTCAGTAAATTATTGCAAAAAAAAACTTAAATCGTATAATCTGCATGCGTGCGTGTAATAGTTATATAACATCCACCTTTTATGGCAAAAAATACGTGCCCGGTAGTGGGACGTTAATAGATAGATGGGGCATATCTTGACTGACATATCAACCTACATACATTGAAACTATTATGTAAAATTTTGCAATAAGTTCTATATATGGACTAGGTAACGGATACAATCGTAAATGTCCATCCGATATTAAAAGTTTTTATTTTGGAAATACCCATGAATATTACTCAGAAGATACATAGTATCCATTTTATCTAAATATTTAATAATTCACATGATAATGAGAAAAAATAAAAATAAATGACTGACTATATAACCTCAAAGTAGCCTTGATGAACGTGACGCGTTGGTAAAACGTAAAGGAAAATTTACTTAGATGATTACACGATTTTCATTGTAAATTGTGAGTATTTGTATAATATACAACGAATATAGGAACTGAGCTTACTGCCCAACTGATATATATTGTACTATATGCGTATTCGGTTACGACAACTTCCGTAGACTACAACATCAATGGAGTCATACGTTAAAACAAGGAGATCTTGATTATCAATATTAACCACACAAGATTCTACCATAATTTAGTATTATTGATGGTAACAATAGTCAGAACTTATCAGATGTACATCTAATTTTCAGTCGCGTTCATTCTACCGTATGCAATGAATACGCAATGAACATTATATTTATTAAACTTAACTCTCTCTCTCTCTCTCTATCTAGGTAGTTAGTAGAGATACTTGACTTCAAAAATTTAAGATAAATAAAATTTGAATATAAAAATAGATAGAATTATACAGCAATATTCAACATTCATGTATATTTTTTAGTTATGAAGCAGTTTTTAAAAATGTGGAAGAAAATTATATCTAATCAGTAATCTAATCAGTCATATTTTGTATCAAAAAGTTAATTATATAATCATTAATATTCATTCTTGTGGGATTCGAAAAAAATGGAATGAGAAAAGGCCCGAATAAGTTCTACTATACCTCTCTGAGTGTAAGAGTTTATTTTCTGGAGCAGCAAACTTAATCTATTCATTTGTTTACTATTGACTATACACTCACCTAAGATTCTTCACCATTCGATTTTCGCTAGGCAGATCTAAAAAGTCCAACAAGAAGCGTAGCCTTTCAGCAATCTCTCGTGTCTCCATTCCGAAGATCCATCCGAAGTACATCATGGTCTCTTTAATTGTAAACTCTCCATACAGCGCAATTTCTTGAGGCATGTATCCAACCCGCTTGCCAGGTACACCTGAGCCTATAAAGGAAAAAAAACACGAATTTAAAAACATTATCTGGAATCTCTGTCCCAAATCTAAAATAATACAAAAAAAACATGCATACATATCCGTCACGCCTGTCTCCCATTAGGGTAGGTAGAAAAATGGAACGTCAAATGATTCAAACAAATCTCCTTCGCTTCCTCATTAATCTATTCATACACGCTCGCTGGTTACGGCTACTTTTAATTTGGCTCTTTTTCAGCACGTCACCTATGTCTATCAGGTTACATTTAGGTAGAGAAGAAAAAAAAGATGACGGCAACTGATCCCCGCAAAAAGTATAAAAAAAAACCTATTTGATATTTTGGATTTATAATGGAAACTTTTCGTCTTATTTCTCATAAAACAGGTTGTAAAGTGTAGAACTAAGAATAAAACAAAATAATAAATGCCATAGAATTAAATTTATTGTTTGCCCATCAAGCTGGAATACCATGTGTTTTAAGAAGTCAAAATAGTCATGATCCATTACTATACATCCAACAAAAAAAATAGATAATGTAATGTAATGTTTCTGTCTCATTTTTCCGGATATGACCAGGACAATTTCATTTGATGAACCAAATACGAGTTTTTCTCAAAGTTAAAATTATCTTATTAATTAACTGATTAAAGATTATCCTATTTACGTTTATATTTAGATTTAACTATAAGTATTATAGATATATTTATTCTTTACCTTTAGTACCAGGTTTGCCCCCAAGAACCCATATTTCTCCGCTGTTAAGTTTCCGCCGACCAACTATACATGATAGAAGGGTGGTTTTTCCGCAGCCAGACGCCCCCAATAGTCCATATCTGTTGAAAAAATCGAATGTTTTATTATTTATTTTTAATGTTTGATTTTATATTATGTCAGAGGTAATACAGTATAACAACATCTATATTGAATATGATAAGTACGCATTGTCAGTTCTACAAAAGAGTGTTTGGAAAACTATATGCTAAAGAATTATTAAATGAATGGCGACATATATTCTGACAATAGCTAGGTATACTAGGTACGTAACAGATCTGTTTTATAACTAGTTTTCGGTTTTTTCCTTTAATACAAGAAATTCTTACTAATAGACGTTGCTAGTATAGCGATTAATGATGCACTAAATGTAGACTTTTATTTGTTTATCCTTATTAGCCAAGAAAACTTGTGTAAATGGCGAGCTAAATGCATTATATTGTCTACCAGCTAACTATTAGCTAAAAACAGAAAGCAATTGAAGAGCATTGGTTTTAAAACTTCTTAATATTTATTTACGTCAATTTACATATGTAAGATGTGGTGAAGAGCCCACCTCAAATAAACGGGTAGAGGTAAAGACAGACAAAGAGAAAGAGAGTGAGAGACATGTGGTGGTATTTGAATAAATTATTAGTGGTTTTTATTTTCAAAAAGATTTATTTGATAGCGTAACATACTTCTAATTAGCAAAGACAAATGTGGCCCTGTATATCCCTGTCGTGAGGGCCATGATTCAGATTAAGAAACAATGATGTAGGATCCACGCTAGACCCGTTTACTTTATAGACGCACGCGCCGCTCCGCTTCGACGGACACTTGCGCCAGCGCACCGAGGACGAACTAATTTCACAACATTATTTACATTCTAAACCTCATTCAACTTTATACTTATTTACATTAAATATATATATATATATATCGATATTTTTGCACATTCAAATAAATATTAAATTTAGACAATTTTTATAAACGACTAGAGGTTTTATTTAGTGTATGGTATACCCAGTTATTATACTAAAACTCTGATTTAATAATTTTGAACAAACTAGACTCTAACTCATGACTGTAAAACGGAAATGAAACATAAGTTTAGTATATACAGGAGTATTATTTAGAATGAAAAACTTTTTATTCCGGTTAATAATATCCCGGATACGCAGATGAGGTCACGCTAGTAATTATATAATATTGCCACTAATGCCCGTAAAATTTTTAGAAACCTGTAAGTCGTTATTTTATATTATAAACATCCGTATAAATTATAAATTTCTATTACGTATACATTTACAAAATACATAATTAATATATTTTTTACTTAATGACATACTGGTACAGACATGTCAATATTATTTTAAACTTGGCATGTAATAAAAACAGAATAAGGAAGAAAATTAACTCGAGACAACAAGTTTGCTTAGGACTATTAGTTTTTGCAATATGTGTTTAATTGTACATACTTGTATAGTGGTAAACAGTTGAACACAGTAACACCTCGTACTAACGTGACAAGTAGGACTTTGCGATAACCGCGTAACTTGAATTCGCGTAAATCAGAATATATTTTTGCTTACGCATTTCTATGATTTCCTAACTATACTTCTATTTCGTGGGATATTTTCGAATATACACATTAGGTTAACAATAGTGGAGGAGGAGTGAGTAATCAACAATTGTGTGGTACTTAAACAATCAAATTGATGGGATTTGAAAATCACGTAATTCTGAGTTCGCGTAAGTCGGGCTAGCGTTAGACGAGTTTACTGTATTATAAAATAAATATTGGCAATTACTATAAAACTTCCATGAGTTTTATAGTAATTAAATTAATAGTAAGGAGGGTTCAGTTTTTTTATCACAATAAATATACAACAGTATATCTAACAAGGTATGCTGTACAAATTATATACAATATCCAGTAAAATTACTTAAGTAACATTTTTATACACGATTATAAAAAACAAAAGGATTTTCTTTGCCTAAGTTGTGTATATGTGTATGTTTGTATGTGTGATTTTGATAAAATTATTTACCCATGTTGGTTCCAAATTTTCTTTGATTTTTTTTTATAGTATTAAATCTTCAATTATTACTTTATAAAATTTGATGTATACTTTAATTTTATATTACACTTTTAATCAACAGTTTACAGATCTCCAATCCAAATAATAACTTATTTATCAAAATCAGTCAAGCAGATTTGTTATTATGATGCTACATATCGTAGTATTTGTACTATTATTTGTATGAGCTACATGTAATTTAAGTTAATGAATAACTACGTACAACATGATACAACTTAATGCCATATTAATGTTTTTCGTTTCTACACTACAATATGCTAAAAACAAAAACAAAATATTTTCAAGGTTGAAACATGTATAATTATAGTAAAAAAAACATCAAAATATTGCTAATTACTGTCATTTTCTAAACCGGTCTGAAATTACATAAGATTTAAAAATTAAATCATAAAGAATTATGTCATATATTATAATTTTTTCCGAAAGAAAAAAAAAATAACAAGAGACGCAACATCAGATTTGATGAGCTCAGAATGACGATAGTAATTTTTGTATTTTTCTCAAAATTCCCAACAACCCAACAATCCACCTAATAGAAAATAACAATTACTGCCTGCATATAAACAGTACAAGATATCACACAATACCCACATAGTATCGCCTATAGTACTCCAAAGCGTTGCCATCGTTAGAAATAATTCTTAGGAACTAAGGTTTTATAAATTCTTGTGTCAAAAACTGATCGAAACAAAAAAAAAAGCAAAAGACGCATCGCTGCTTCCCAATCGCGACATGATATAATTAGGTAAAGAGACGACTAAACCTGACGGTTATTGAAAATACCTCAACTATGAAATCTAAACGTGTTATTGTTAAACTAATGTTACAAAAGATAGTAAACTCATTCTAATACCTGTTTAAAATATCATCTGTGATGCTATTTTTATGAGTTGTCAATTTTTTTTGTCATACGAGTATATTTATGTAGGAACTTCTATCTCGTATTGAAATTTAGTCAGAATCAACGAGGCTCTATTGCATATATAAGTAATTTAGAGACAAAAATTTACGCAAAAATACAGCCAGTTGCCATAGCTAAGCATACAATCTACGTCCTAATCACATGGTAAATGGTAGTATATGTAAAGAAGATATTACTTGACATAATATTTACTCTTAATCAGAAACATCTTATAACGGAAGTCTAGAAAATTCTAATCACTTCCAATTATTGACGTCACAATAACAACCTATAAGGAAATCAATAGAATTAGCTTGCATGTTAATTATCAATTCTATTGCTTTATACTATAAGATTCAAAAGAAGTTAGAATAATTGTAACTGTAACTTATAACTTTGACTCTTATACATGTAAACGTAAGGTTCATAAGATATTGGTGCATATGTCACACAATAGATTAATTAAAATTGTTGAGGTTAATAATCTTTTGTTGTTGTATGTCCTTGCTGGCATGTTTCCAAGTTCTTCCCCTTAAGGTGATCCCTTTGATATAAAACGTGTCACATAGATATTATTATTCTATATCATAGGAAAAGCTGTAACTATTCCCAACAATCTTTAATATTTTTCATCGTATAATTACATTTCTGTTTTTCCAAAGGTTAACTGGGAGAAAACACAATATAGCATTAATAAGTAGGTATAACTAAAGCAGGTAAACGATTAACGTTTTAGTTCGCTAGTAGAGCACTTTTTAAATAATAAAAGAAAATTAAAACGTTCAATTGTATTTGAAATTTGACAGAAATTTAGCGACGCTGGCATACTTCGCTATGAACTTTTTAACCGACTTTGTAAGAGGGAATAGAGACTCGAAATAAAACATAAACCAAAATACTTCTGTAGTAGTAAACTACAGCAATAGGTCGTAAATAAGTTGTTATGATGGTTTAAAAGAGATTTTTTTCCAGAGATTTGTGGAAACGGAAAATAACAGACATTTGCAAGTATAAAAGATAATGTCGCCAAAATTACTAAAGTATAATGTTTATTGACATTTACATGACAATTGATTTTCTTTATTGACCAGATTACAAAAAAAAATTTTGTGTAAAAGGCGAACTTAAGCAGTTACTGAAAATTTGGATTTTGATTGCAAAAATGTACTTGAAAAAAGCAAAATATGAAGTAGGTGTAAAAATTTTAACTGTAGATTTATATGTAATGTATTCTATGGTTAAATTTTTAGTTGGTAAAATACCGGAGCACTTTTTAAATTATCAGTCAGAAACTTTGAAAAATGTTAAATTGTTTTTGAAAAATTGTGTAGTAATCACACTACAGTAAGCAAATGTAATGAATACTCTTAAGATTTTCAAGTATAGTTATAAACCATAACTGAAATCAACAATACATAATATCTATAAACATAATATTCATGTCTACAAACGATAGTTAGAACTTTATTTTTAAATATGTGAAATTGTAATTGAAATCCCGCCAGTTCAATTGGTGTTTGCTGGTAGAATATCAGTGCAGTGAAGGTGACCTGTTCACCGGGAATTAACTACGATGGTTTTAAGGACGACCTCACAAAGGTCGCCCTCATTAGATATATCTTTAGCAATTGGGCTTCTAGATCCAATTACTAATAATCAACCAAGATGAAAAGTGATAATCCATTTTTTATCTGTTACTATACTATACTAGTATTTTTTTTCTTGACTATTTTTAAAATAAGAACATAAGACATTTAAAAGTATACTCACATTGTGCCTTTAGCGACTGTCATGTTTAGGTTGCTGAGTACATGGTTGGGCCTTTTTTTAGATCCGTAGTGTTTGAACGCGTGTCGAACACACACGGCTTGCTGACGCTTCTGCCACATCTAAAATAGAATTACATCCATTACTAAAGTCAATATCACTTATTACTTAGATTATATCTTAAGTTAGAGCTTCAAGTGTCAAATAATGGACAAAAACGATCAACAATGAACTATGACACCCATTTTTCTGTTTAATTTTATTTTTCTTAAAACATACATATATATGGTCCTAGCATAGAATGGGCCATCTTTTCCTTTCCCGTGGGTATCGTAAGAGGCAATTAGGGGAAGTTAATGGTCAAGGACTGGGTTGCCAACCCTCAAGCGTAGCAACCACTGGCAACCCCCCTCTCTCCCCTCTTTATGAGAGAGACTTATGTTCAACAGTGGACAGTTAACGGCTGATATTATGATACTGATAACAAATATATATTTAAACTTGTTACTGGTAAAACAGTCATTTTAAAATAGACGACGTAAATAAAAAAAGAGAATGAAAAAATAAAACGCACTATTTTTCAGTAATACAACTATAAATTATTTAGAAAGACTTTTTGACACAGCTTTTGTATTAAGACATTTTATTTAGAACCTATAGTGTTTTTTTTTTTTTTTTTATATACAATTATGAAAGTTAAAAGACATAATAAGATAAAGACATGATAAGATTGATTTTTTTCTACTACCTGTCAAAAAATTCCCTTGCTGTTATTTTTGATCACTGTACAAACTATACACTGAATAATTATATTCAATATATAATTAAATATCATATGTATAGTTTGTCTTCTAAGTAAACATTTATTATATACCAGGATATAGTTTTTTTACACAACAAGTGTTTTCTGATGAAAGTTATAAATTTATTAAAAAATACTTTGGTAGGTATATTTTTTAGGTTATATTTTTGTATTATATATATAATTTTTACATAAAATATGCTTATTAATTATCAATTTTTTTGCCAGTTTTGTCTAATCCGGAGGCATAAATATGAATAATGTTCAATTAGGATGTGCTTGTAAACAAGTCTCTATAACTATAATTAGAGATTATTTAATATAGTACATATGACCTTGCCCCTTTCCCATTACATGGAGTCAGTAAAGTATAATTTTGATTATCTATTACCACCTAAACACTATTAATTACTTATTAAAAAAATATTATTTTTCTCTCGGCTTAAATAGGTTTTTTTTTATAAAAAAACTTTTTTTAATTTATGTCACTCTCTTTTTACTAATTATACATATAGACTAATTACTTCTAATACAGAGTTTTTAAAGTATAAATAATATATTAATAACAAACAAACGGACTGCTAACTTGATTTATAGTGGTAACTGCTAAACTTGTCCGTAATTATAACTATATAAACATAGTTAATTTTAAACTTTCGCGTTGTTTACACATATTTTAAATATACAATTGGGACTTTGAAAGCTTTTAAAGATTGTGTATTTAAAATATTTAAACATAATTAAAAATTTTGTTTTATAAAGGAAAAACAGCAATTTCTATCGTGACAAAGTTAATATGCAATCAACAAAGGTGGAAATGACATCAGATAGATGTCAAAAGGGCATCATTGCCACACAATTTGAAGATGTCCACTAATTTCGTGATTTCAAAGTATGTTCTCTAGTAAAATCTCACCAAATTTAATGTAATAGAGAGAATTGAGATTTTTAGAGAAAATTTGAAATGAAAAACTTATGTCGACTTTTTATTCTACCCTTATTCCATTAAATAAAAGATCATATTCCCTTCTAAAGGGGCACTAACACACCTGCAATTTCTCTGATGTTGTGTGTATGATGGGCGGCAGTAATCACTTATTATCAAGTGAGTAATATACTCGTTTAGCCTTATGTTAAAAAAGTTAACACAAATACTTCTTAATACGTGAAAAAATAAGTATTAGAACTTAGTTAATTAATAGAATGATACAAAACACTATATAAACATAATTAACTTGAACATGAGATTCTCAGAAGCTAATCACGTGTAAAGGGGTTCCTCACGAGTCACTAAGGGGTGAGAAGGCCATTGTGTCAAAAGTCAGCCTGCTAATTTCTACAGTACAAAGTGTCATTGAGATCCGCTTATGTACTCGTATTCTTCACATTTCATGGTATTATGACAATACAAACATATTTTGTATACATAAATCCGTCAATTTCTCGTTTTTCTTGTCTTATGAGTAGGCAGTTTAAAAATATACAACATCAACACAAGTTTAAATTAGAAAACAAATAGGTACTAAGTTCATAATGCAAATTCACAAATACTAGTTTCACACCACGGTTTTGCCCATGTTAATTAGAATAAAAAGTGTAGATACTATTACGTGTAAACAAATTATTATTTTGTCTATTTTGATATTAGATATTATTTGATACAAATACTATCTCGGAGTTTTTATGAATATGATCGAGTAATAACCTACCTGATGGAAAGTGGTAGCCGTCTCCTATAGACATGAGCAGTACCATGGACATAACAGAGTGTACTGTTTCACTCATGATTCCTCCCATGCGTTGCCATTCCTGAGGAGTCAGGTGTAATTTCCCAGTACCCTGTAAATTCACTGTCATATCCCACCCTTCAAACCGAAACACAACCATTCAAAACCAACTACTTCACGGTAGAAACATGAATGGGACAGAGGTGCCCAAGCAAATAACTTTTTGTACAAAGTCTCCCTCTGGTGGAATTTATTAAAATACAGCTATAAATATATACAATACCATCTTTTGCAAGTAGTTTTGTATGCACTGACTTGAATTATAAATTATGAAAGTGAAAAATAAGTAGGCATAATAATAAGTCACGTGAAACTACTGGGTACGGAGGCGTAAGCCGTTCCTGTCTATAGGCGACGGTTACCACTTTCCATCAGGTAGGTTATTAGATTATTTGCCATTCTATTTCAAAACCAAATCGTGAGTTAGAGTCTAAATAGAAAGCATAGTGATCGTCATCTCTAAATTTGATCGTCACAGAATATATTGTGTCTGAATTAATAATAACTCACTATCGTAAGATCCGTGATCATCGTTGACTATTGTTTTCATAATTAGTACAATCATCCTGTATTTTAATATTAACATGAATACCTAAACGTAGTAATACATTTTAAATAAAAGTTTAAGAACTAAATATGAGATCTATATCTATGAAAAGCAAGAAAATACAGTTTCTATCTTTATTGTCTCGATAAAATAAGACGTCTAAGTTTAGTCGGGAATTTATCTTCTTCTTATGCTGATATAACTCGAGAAGGAAGTTATATCAGCATTATATGGAAGTTTTATTTTTTACAAAACTATGTTATTGATAATCATATATATATTTAAATGTGAAAGCTTGTTAAGATGTTTGTTTTATTACCTGGTCACATTTAAACGGCTGAAGAAACTTAAATTAAATTTAATCCACTTTTTTCATATCCCAAGTAATTAATGATAATAACAACAGAATAACAACAACAATTATTATTATTATGACGAATACTCACTTAATAATAAAATTACTAAGCATTTATTCTTAAACCACAATTAGTCATTACATTCCCCATAATATTTATTGTATGTAAATGTAAATATTATTCTGAGGGTGACTGACTAGACAGGTATTTACTGAACAAAGAATGAAAATGTCTGATAAAATTCTTCGTCGAATAATTATTTCAGCTATTTATGCAGTGAATATAAATCTGATGCACCTGAATCCATTGATTTCCTGCGACATATTTGAAGCTTATCTTAATAAGTAATGAATACTACTTATGTGAATATTAATTAATACGTAATGAAGTTTTTGAATTTCAAATATATCTGTCGATTGTCTACACTACAGATTTTAGAGCTGGAAATTCACAAAGGTTTAATAACTTTACGGCAATCATATCATACTAGCTTTTACCCACGACTAAGTTCGCATGACTGGGATATGTTGAAATGAAATTAATTGAAATGATTTATTTGCAAGAGTTCATGATACATATTGATAGTTATTTAACATATATCAAGCACTTATATGTCCCGCCAAAACTATGATTATCATGAAAATGTAAAATAATTTACAATTTAAATTAACTCTATATATTTTGAGATTATTTTGATTTTATTTTAGTAATCTTATATAATATAATTAATTCATTCTTATTCATAGTAAATTAAAATGTTAGAAATTCAATAATTCATTAATGCTATAAAACATTTTTCTAATAGCTTTAGCTAGTAATTTATTATAAATTTTAGTCATCATATTACAGCTGCTTTTCTCAAATATTGTACTTTAAATAATGTTGGATATCAAGCTCTAAAGGATTAGTATTGTCGCTTTATTTTCATTTCCTTTACTTTCTCATATACTTCCCAGTTCATAGCACTGTACATTCGATCGACTATTTTTCTGGCTACCGACAAAGCTCCAACATTATATGTATTTTATGTATGTTCAATAATTCAATTGCAAACCTTGATAAAGTGCCAAGTCGTTTCCTTCCTACAGAAACGTACATTTTATGACTGCTTCATAAGGCCTAACAGCTTATTGTATTTGTCGAGATTGTTTATATACGATTGTGTACAGCGAACGTGCCATATCCTTGAAATCTGGTTAGTTGGATAAGGTGTGGTCTTGGAATTTGAGATTTAAGGATATTGTAGAAATTATTAATTCTTGGTGCTTTTTTTATAAAACATTTTGTATTGATATTTTAAAATTATGTGATTATTGTTGAATAACATTTCATTGATAATTTTTGTTTTTATTATAGTATTTTTAAAAAGTTTGTCTCGTAGGATAGACCGTTTTCAAATAAGAGGATAAAGATTATGATAATCATCTAGAAAGCGTGCTTTTGGTTAATAAGCTATTATAAACCGGTATGATGTAATACTAGTTTTTCTTAAACTAACTTCGTAGGTTTGTTTATGAATTCTAAAAACTATAAATATAATAAAAATATATTTTCATTTACTTCTACGTTTGCTTATTTTTCATTCGCCTTATAGAGGCAGACTGTAGATACTCAAGTAATTTTGAACATTTTCCATTTAAAAAAAGGTTCGAAAATCAACATGACTATTTGCTTAACCCGACACGGCGATCGATAAGGTTCCAAGTGTTCCAACCATATGAAGTATTAATAAATATCCTCTTTATTTTATACCTTTACAAATATTGACTCACACTAATGCATATGATAATATTTTATGAATGTTCCAGTAAATTTATTTAGAGGGCTTTATATAGCAAATATTGATAAATGATTATTCTTCATGTACGTAGGTCCTTTTAACATGAGTTAAAAGACCTACGTACATGAAGAAGTGTTGGTTTTTGTAATGGATTTACTGTTCTAAGCACTGCTCACTCTCAGTCACAATGTTATTCTAATTCATTTATTGTAGATATATGATTAAGATATATGGTAAGCTATCAATTTTAATTGTATCAAAATTATTTTTAGACATTTAGTATCTTGCTTTAATGGTATTATATATGACCAAATTAAAACATGGTAATAATGCCACATAGAGTAACAGAATATAAGAGTGATAAGAGAGACAGTTATTTAAAAGTCTACTACCATCAAACGTTATTTTTAACCGACTTTAAAAAAGAGGTTCTCAATCGGTTGATTTTTTTGTTACCTCATAATATTTATAATCCGATTCGGAATTTTATCTGAAAGGACATACTTTCAAATTAGTTCCACAGAAATTTTATCAAAATCAGTTCACTACTTAGGTTTCTAAATAAAAATGATTGGTTTTGTGACAAAAAAATCGACTTCAGTTTTTTCTGGAATAAACTCTTAAATTGTAATAAAATAGAAGTTCATTTATTCAATTTAATGCAAGGTTCAATTATATTAGCAATATCAAATGACATATCATTTATAATTGATATTTGTCGTTTTAGTAAAATCAATGTATATGTGCGCCATCAAGGGTTGAGTCGATTTGGCTGCTCGCGAGTGTATATATATAATGCATATTAAGAGTGAATTTATGAGAGGAGCTATGATATAGATTATTATTGTAACTGATCTATACATACAGAACAAAAACTATTAGGATTATATTGATGCCTTTTAGAGAATCTTCATTTCCTCCTCCCAGGATCTAGAGCAATTGCCAAAAGTAACAAAATGCCTTAATATAATCATTTATTCTAAATGAAAATAAATATTTACTTTCGCCCGAAGCAGTGAAACAACTTGTTCGGACCAGTGCCCGATCCTCCAAAATTTTTATAAAATAACCTTTCTTTGTGGGATAATCCTCATAGACATTCATTCATCTCGGATAAATAGTGAACAAAAGCCCTAGGGTGTTCCCTCTACTTGCTTATCATGGAGCTACAGTATTGGTGCGGTCTTGGTCTTGCACGAACATAACTTGATTTTGTTGTTTCTTTTAATTCATACCCATTCTAATTTGGTTACGATTGAAGTCATAATATTAAATTATTATTATATTTTAGCATTTTATGTGATTTTAATTTTTTATTATCGTGTATTTTTCGGGATTTTAATAACTTTACTTGGACTCACCGTGGATTCTTGTTTCTCGAAAGGTACAGAGAATTGTATCTGGCTCATTTTGGACTCCTTCTCGTCGCCCATCGGCGACGGAGGCGAGGTCTCTCTGTGAACAAGAAACGTAAGGACTATTAATATACATTTTTTCTAAAAATATAATTCGATTTCTATTAATTATTTTTTACACTACTAGAAATGGAAAAGAAGCTGATGTGCTTACTTAGTGAAAAGTAATAATATAAACAACATTATAAAATATACTGTGATGTCCACGGTACTCTGTACTTTTATATTATATATATATATATATATATATATATATATATATATATATATATATATATATATATATATATGTTACTATCTCTTGATCAAAATAAAGAATTTATCTATACTAATATTAAAGTATAGTTAAATTTTAGACTTGATTATTTGTTTGTAATGAATAAACTCAAAAATTACTCAACTGATTTTAAAAATTCTTTCGTCTATAGAAAGTTACATTATCAGCGAATAATATGGGCTAATATATTATTACTGTAAATTCTATCTACTGCTGTGAAGTCAGGCTAGATTGATAGTCTATTATATTTATGTACTTCACATGCATTGTCTGGGAAAATTATGAATATTTATACCAAAATCTGCCAACAACGTTTCCATTAGTTACCTTGTATATTCAATTTTCAAAAACAATTTTCTGTATTTCTGAATGATTGTTTAAAAATATTCCTTTTTAATAACATGTTTTCTTAATAAGGTATTGTGTAGCTATATTCTGTTTTTACTTAAAACTAAATACTTAACTACTTTATATATACCTAATAAGGTAAAATACATATATTTACTTAATTTTATTGTTGTGTGGCCGTTAATTAATTTGTTTATCACGAGTCTAGCCACACTCTCAGATTAAATCAAAATAAATTATACATATATCTATATGACAAGATCAATAAAATATTTAAATTAACTTTTTTTTAATATGCGTTTAATTAAGGATTTTTGTTTTTTAACAAGTCAATCTCATAATATCTATTTAAATAAAAAAAAGATTAGATACCATAAGTGTTAATATTTGAACCATCCAAGAAAATTATGATAGTAACATAAAAGGGCAAAGACCTTGTTATTTCCATACATCCATCACAGAAAAAAGCTCACCTAATTCGCGCCAAACGACGACGGCCATAAATATAAACCCTTTGTCTATTCTAAACTCATTTTTAATTCAACAGGCAAAGGCATCATCATTCACCCGGCGTGCGACATCGTCGTTTTGACATATCGTCCACGGTCACTATGGCGAAATTATTACGATAAATTACGCGGCGGAACAATTAAAACTATATCCGTCTCTTTCTACATTATGGTGACCTTGGTAAGTGGAATAGCACCGACTGATGTCCGTTAGGTACGTCGTACGTAGTGTTTCGTCAGAGACGTCAATTAATTACTAATTGATTTGACGTAGCTGTTATACTATTCACTATTTAACTTCGTCTAAATTTGTTAGGATAAAAAAATGATAGAGATAAATTGAAAATGTCATTCTTTAAAACTATCTCTAAAAGCCATTATTTTTAGAAAAACGCTCAAAAAGAGAATATGGGATCTGCGGTGAAGAGAATAAATTCTGAGCCGGCTATCTCTGAATCTTGTGAATTTTAAAAATACTTATTTTATCTTTTAATATCTATTGCTATGTGTATCCCTCCGCTTTACCTACGGACGTATCGTGATGTGAGTAGTCTATAACCTTCCTGAAGAAATGAGCTATAAAATATAAAATGAATTTTTCAAATCCGTCTGCTAGTTACGAGTACAGAGATTAGTGTTCAAATAAACAAAAAAACAACTTGCTGTATATTAATATCAATAAAATTATTAAGACACTTATCTATTTATTTATAAATCGAAAGCTGATGGAAGGGATCAATTCTCTTAAATACTTGATTGACAAGTATAAGCTTACTCACTTCTTCTGTCTAATTATTATTTTACGAGTATTTAAAAGTTTAGACAATCAAGCAAATATACGATAAGTATCTGTTGTACTCGTATAGTTATTATGATATTATTTACTATTACTTCACTTCAAATTATGTCTTTGGACTCACAACCAAAAGCATAATTTAAAATTATTGAATGTTGCCCAATCAAATGTATACAGCCAGCAACATGTCAAACTGGTCGTGATACTTACTGAAATTCTATACATGCGTTTGGCTTATGACCGTACAGGCAAAAACGAGTTCGCAAAACTAGGACTTCGTGTTTATTAATAGATACATAAAAAATAGATAAATAAAAAAATTTTACGTACATAATTTTATATAGTATATGTAGGATGAAATCTAAATTATTAGCCGCACTAAGAATCTATTCATACTATAGAATACTAGCTGTATTCCGCGGTTTCACCCGTGGTCGTATCGTGTTGTTAATAGCTTATGACCTTCCTCAAGAAATAAGCTATCAAATGCGAAAAGAATTTTTCAGAGCGGACTGGTAGATCCAGATATTAACGCAATCAAATGACAAATTCTTCTACTTTATGTAATAGGATATATATGTATATATATATGTATCTGTTAAGCTAGTATGCCCCGCATACTAGCTTAACAGATGGGTGGGTCATATTAGCACGGTTGAAGTTTTTTTTTACAATTATTGACCTCATTCACAGTATTCAGGAAGTGATTACCAGTGAAACAAAATGATTTTTCTAAAGAAACATGAATCGATAAATGCAATTTTTTTTTAATCTATTAAATCCATTGTACAGTTCTTCTAATTAAAGATATAAGTATCTACATTCCATCGTCTATCATTACAATAATAATTAGATAAATTATGTAGTTTTTTCTAAGAACAAAATAATAAGATATTCATGGCATTGTTGCGTGACATTGCATTTCAGTCCATATTATTATTATTATGAACGTATAATTAATGATGATGTTCTATAATATGAACCATATATTTTGCTTTGCAAAAAAAAAAAACAACTTCCATCATGAAAACACACACACACACGTATATTTTTCGTAAATACTTATCTTACATTAACAATATTTGAACTTAAAATAGATTAAGAGATTAACACGGTACTAATATCAATTATAAAAAGAATTGTGAATATCGATTCAAAATTAAGATTTATTTAACGTAATTACATAACATAGTCTATAAAAAAAGAGAAGATAAAAACCTCCTTTTTAAAAGTCGCTTAAATACGAAATATTCAAATTTCCCCGCGAACTATAAAAAGGGCTATAATCGGAGTTTCGCTGCGTAATAGAATTCGAAGCAAGGATATCCGCAAAAGAATTGGCATTATCGATATTACATTCTGCCCATCATAATAACCACATATATAAAGACCAACAACCAATTGGTTTGGAATGGTAACATCGTACCTGTAGTTAAACGAAATATAAAATGCCAATCCTGCTACGAGTACACAGAGAGCTTCATATAAACTGGAAACACCTCCCTTATACGTAAAAATGTCAAACCATTCAAAATCCTATTAGTTATTCAACTGTTTTGACCTTTGCCTTTGTACTAATTTCTCAAATTAAAAGACACTATAATAGTTAAAGCAGGTTTGTAGGACGTTTTAGTTTTTATGAATAAGTGGATATAATATATGTCATCTAGTCTGAAAATACACACATGAACTTGTCTATTGACTATTCTTTCTTTGGAGATGGCTCTTTTGAACAGTGGACAATAAACGATTGACATAAAACTACAGTAATAATAATAATAGGTAAATATGTATATATTAAACAGATGTCTATACGACTAACATGTTAATGAATTTGTCCTTACAATTATTTAATAAAGAAGCGCGACAAATAAATGTAATGGGTGTGGTGTCATATTTTATACCCTGTGACTAAACAGATTCTGTGAATATGATGGAAATACCAATGTTCTAGCAATTCCATTCATATCAATAGGATTTCCGAATGATAAATCGGAGATTTAAGCAGATTTATCGTAAAGAAATAAGTAGATAAGCCGGTTTTTATTAAGCGGAAGTTTATCGTAACCTCATAAAAATGTAAAATTTACCGGTTTTTTTTCTATCATGACTTGTGGTTTTTACTTTATTTCAAAGAAAAATACTACATTACTAGCTAAATATTAATAGACAATATTAATAAATAGGCAAATTTATGATACTTTGGACATTATTGTAATTTTTGTAGAAGTTCTATTTTTTTCTAAATAGCATATATTAAGCTATATATGTTACTTGTTAATAATATATCTTACTATAGACAAAGAACAATCTAAAATCGGTTGAGTAATTTTCTTCATTACAAACAAACAATAAAATGAAATCTTTCCTTTATATAATATTAGTACAGATTATTACAAACACACAATAAATATCATTTTTTTATTATTATTTATATTATTTATTTTTCTTAACTATTTCTATCGGGAACAAAAAAGCGTATGCATAACCAATGGTGATTGTCTTTAATAATTATGCATGATTATAAACACAAGGTAGTTTTAATCATAAATGCATCAGTATAATCGCTGACTTAGCAGACGTGCACAGACGATTGAGTCACGTGCATTGTATGCAGAAATGCATATTGGACAATACTACTGGTCGTGAAAATCACGTATATGGGTAGGAAATAGAATAATTTCAATAGAAATATATTAACAATATAATAATATTTACATCTGTGATACGAATCACACTTGTTATAAATATTACTAGTTCGTATAATTTGAAATAAACCATTATTTTAATGGAAAAATAACTAATCTATACCCTTAGGTCTTCAAGATCTGAATAGAAAAATGCACTAATATAGAAGGCAATATAGCAGGGTTAACTGGTATATTAAGCTACTTAACTCAAGAGTCCTGTTTAGGGATTGTACAATTAATTTTGCATTTTTTTAGAATACACTTAGCGTCAGATATCCAGCTACTATAAGAATAATATTATTAAAATATTACAATGAGACCGAAACAAAAGTAGTAGTCTTTTTCAATTAAAAGAAAAAAACAAATATAATAATCTTTTTATTTTATTAATATACTTTACCCAAAAGATGACTGGAAGAA